TTATGTATGAGATTTTTCTTGTGTTAATGAGTTTTTTGTGTCCTATAAGTTGCGATAAGTTGTGCCTGCAATTGTGCGCTTGCAGCAATCATTTACCACCGGTGATTACTGATCAATTCCTCGATGATTTTTGTATAGTTTTTTCTTAATTTGTTTGATCTTTTACACTTTTACAGACCATCAATTTTAACCAGATTTATATCACATTTCCAACTTATTCATTATTATAAATGTAGTCTCCGTATTCATGTTACATGTCAGAGACGAGCGTCACGTTGCTATGTTAATTGCCATGATTGTTTCGTTCACAATTGTTCGGCTATTACCCCCATTGGTTGGCACTCCACTATTACTGCCAGGGCAACAGTGGACGATGAAAAGGCATTACATTGTAGCGGTGTACAATGCTACGAGGTTTTGCTTGATAAACAAAGGCATGTTATCGTTCGCTGCAACGTTAGGTGAAATTTATGCCCTTTTTGCTTAATTCCAAAATAAGTTAATTACTAGAATTTTATATTTATTTTTACCTGGCATGACTACGTTCTAAACGACGGTGTGGCTTGCAAAATAAGCTGTGAGTGTTTGATAATAAATTGCGTATAAAATTGAATAACGCATGCATATTCCGTCTATGCAGCCAGATCTGGGTACTTTATGTTCCTGCAATGGCATTCATTTCTCGTTATTTTAACGAAAGCTTCTCCACTCATTAATTACCTGCTTCACATTCATCGGTCATAGAAGGAAAGAATTGAAAATTCCTTATTACATCAATAACTGAAAAAAATCATAACTAACCTTTTCTCTGTTAAGTATTAATTTTGAGATATTTTCTCTAAATTAATCAATGAACGTTTTCACTAAAGCATTACAGTGCAAAATCAAAGTTAATTAATGAATAATAATTGAAACAGGTTATCTACGTGATTTATCTTCTCATCTACGTCTAAAAAAGAATCTAATATTTTTAATCTTTGAACAAAACGAACTAGTACGCAAGTTGAATGAAAACTTTGCAAAATCCGTGCCAAATAACAGTAATATTGTTATCCACATTTGCCTTTAACTTGACAGACACTTGCCTTTTGTTATATGATGGCATGGAGAGACGATTTGCTTCGGATAAATTTTTCTCTTCTGTTGTCAAGTCAAACGCGATTTCTATTTTTTTATTTAATCGAAAAATGTCTTCTTTGTTGCCCTTGTTAGGGTTAATGTGCTAAGTTAAATGTGAGAGTTTCTTAAAGTTAACATAAACAAACTCGTCACCTCCACATGACTCGAGGTCAGTGGCCGGGCGGTGGTGGCGGCCGTTGGCCTGAACGACTTACTGATAATCCTTATAAATGCACGTTAAATGGAGTAAAACTTACAAATAAATCTTCTGCAATCTTTATGAACGCACGTTACATGGAGTAAAACTTACAAATAAATCTTCTGCAATCTTTATGAACGCACGTTACATGGAGTAAAACTTACAAATAAATCTTCTGCAATCCTTATGAATGCACGTTAAATCTGAAAAACTCACAAATAAATCTTCTGCTGAATGTGAACGATTCAAGCCGCGATGTGAGTCAGATCAGGCTTTAAAATTCCAACGCTGCTTTTCTATTCCATCAATCGCATCCGAAATGCTGAACAAAAGTTATGAAATGAAAATTAAGATTATGTTCGATGCTTATTGTGAAAAAAAAATCGTGTAGGCATTTCAGGTACTGAACATCAAACTCGGCGCATATAATGACATAGATATCAAAATTATGTTGGTTATTTGGTGTTTTTCACACGTAAGCGCTCCTCTCAATTGTGTGTCACTATAAAATGACTAAAATGTAACGCGGAATCGATCAATCAAAGCCTCTTCTGTTTTGTGACTTTCAAAAAAGTATCTCATGTCTACATTTCATATTTAGTTTCTTGTTCATTTTTACGATGCGGAACTGCTCTCTATTTTGGTTCTCATATTATCCGCGCTAATATCAATATTCAATGGTCTTTGCAGAGGGAAAGTGAATAGTTTCTGTTCCTAAAATCTCTTCTAAAGAACATGACCCTTACACCAGGCATAGATAAAATGAGACGTGATGCTGTACAGAATAAGATTATATATATATAGATTTAGAAGTTTTAATTCAAACACACTCAAGTCACTAATGTTGCCCCCCAACGTCGTTGGATGTTTATTGGATGATAATAAGTAGCTTAGATGTTGAACCTGAACTTCTGTGAGTTGTTGACAGTGAACCTAGCAAGTTGTTTGACTCGAATAATGTGTGAAGAGGGAAGGAACAAGTCGAGCTTGGCACGCACTCTCACCAGCAACTTCTCGAGTCTGGCCGTAGCCCGCTTTATTGGCGCGTTGCTTTTCATCGTTTTTATATTACTTTCTGGAGGAGCGGTGAATTTAGGAGAGCAAAATTCGACACGACGAAATAAATCTGACCTGTAATGTGAAAAACATGAAAGTTCAGGTATCGAGGTGATGCGAATATAAACTTTTGAAGGAATAATCTTGATACTTGTTTTAAAATTCTATTAGCCAGTGTTGTAATATTTTTTAAGAGTAGAACTGCTATTTTACAGGCAGGACTATGAGTTTGTACATATTGTGAACGATTTCGCGACAATTTATTTTCCGTTGGAAGATGCTATACGTTCTCAGTTTTCTCTGAAGTGGGTTTTCTAAATTTCGGATTTTGGGGTTGGCGTGAAAGACTATTCCGAACATTATGCTTGAATTAATTCTAAAATTTTGGTATCCGTGCCGTTTTTTCATATAAGCTGGCATTCGTCGCTGTCATTTGACTAACGAGGCAGCTTCGTACGAGCTGCGCAGAAGAGCACCTGCGCCGAGCATGGTTACGATGTTGAACTCTGCGGACAAATCGATTCTTTGCTTCAATCTAATTTTCATATCTTGCTTGTAAATTCAATATTAATGACATAAATAGTTGTCCAGTGGCGTGAAATTTCTCAGTCCATATGCACCACATTGGATTGTTTTAAATATTACAATAATATAAGTCAACAATCCCAGCTCTTAAGTCACATATCACCGTTGTTAGCAGCAAATTTTGCGTTTTTTTCATTGATACAGAATTTCGCCGTCCGTTAACGAACAATGAGAATGGTTCTCGTTTCCAATCTTATCATGACTTTTAGATTTCAAAAACCATACTCGAGATTGATTTGCACTATCAACTCGTTAGCGTATTTAAGTAAGTGAGTTGGCTTCACCCGCACTCTCTTCCTAATTGTTTAAAATTTAGTATGACGGCGCCTTCAAATATTTCCGTCGTGTGGGCTGTTGCAGGTCGCGTGCCCTCCTCGTTCTGCTCCCGGTGGCCCCATCTCTGATTGTGTGTAAAACAAAAAATATTTCCACTGAGTGGGCCGTCCCAACTTTCTCTCACATTTTTTTCTTCTCTTGGTTATGATGCTCTCAAATATTTCTCCTGAGTGGGCCGTCCCAACTTCTCCTTTTTTTCTTCCCTTGGGTACGATGCTCTCAAATATTTCCACTGAGTGGGCCGTTCCATTTTTCTCTCTTTTCTTTCTTCCCTTGGGTACGATGCTCTCGGGTATTTCCGCTAAGTGGGCCGTTCCATTTTTCTCTCTTTTTTTTCTTCCCTTGGGTACGATGCTCTGAAATATTTCCTCTGAGTGGGCCGTCTAAACTTTCCCTTTTTTTCCCCTTGGGTACGATGCTCTCAGGTATTTCCACTGAGTGGGCCGTCCCAACTTTCTTTTTTTCCTTTTTTTGGGTAAGATGCTCTCAAATATTTCTTCTGATTGGGTCTAGCCGCTTAGTCTCTGCGGTCATCTGAGGCCAGCCTGAAGGTCATGACTGTGCAGCGTTCCATTGTGGCAAAGCAGAGAGTTCTTGACTCTTCCAGTACAATATCATTGACTGACCAGTAAAATATCATTGATACCAGCATTATCAGACAGAAGATATTGGTTTCAATCTCGGGTAAATGTAGAAATTATAAATGAACTGATTTTAAAAATCACTTTATAGTTTGTCACTAAAAAGCGTCCCCTAGATCTGCGTAGTCTGCATTCTGTGGAGATTCCAAAGAGGCAAGGGATCGTACATGCAGAAGCATGTCAGGTACAATCTTTATTTTGTGTTCATTCAAAAGGATCCCCTCACAGCCACAACTATAATTGAAACATAGCAACTTAGTTGGAACTTGAATGCGCGAAAGTTCGGAATAGCTTGATGATTCTAGTCTGTTGGAATCTTACAAATTGTGCAATCTGATCATTTATTTTAAGCATTTTGTGCTGATCGGACTAACTAAGGTTGTTCTGTGTAGGATCAAAGATGGCGCCGCACAAGTATTTTTGAGATATTCAAATTAATTAAAATTCTAATCTCACTGAAATGTTGATTGCTCGATAGGTTATATTGTCTCAATTAGTACCTAGATGTATCCTTATTTATATATAACGAGGTACACAATTGTACTCGAATTCACGCATTCAAGAATTGTACCTGCACGCATTCATTGTACTCACAATTGTACTCGAATTCACGCATTCAAGATGGCCTAAACAAATGTTAAAATTATATTTTTAACGAGCTCGGGAGGGCGTCGTCGTTTTTATGTCCATTTGGATATGTGCAAGGATGCCATTCCTCGTTAGAAGAGTGGCTTAGATTTGCTTGATCCTCCCCGTACTTGATAGCTTACTATTTCATAATGGTTAGCGTTGATTTGAATAGTTATGATCACTGGATGCGAGGTTTGACCTCACGCATGAGACGAAATTTCAACCTGTGCAACTATCTTCTGTACGCAGGTGGGTTGCTTCAAAGATCTTGATCTCAGTCACGGACGTCAAAAGGTTGATTAGTATCGCAATTAGTGTTGATTTTGGGAGGTGTTAGGGCATTGGATGTGGGAGGCGGAGCTGGCTGCCTGCCCGCCTGACTCTGCGTCTAAAAGTGTCCATCTCCCCACTGGCTGGGTGACGAGGCACCCGCGGGGACGAGGTCTTCATTGCGTTTCGACATCTCTTGAGGCGAGGGTGCGTTAGATGGGGCTGCCCATGAACTGGGGTGCAAGCATACAACTATTGTGCCAAGTTATATGCTAGCAAACTAACTTCTGATATTTTCTAAGCCAAGTTCGAACTACCCATAGAGGTAAATTGAGTGAAGTGAAGTGATTGTGCAAGACGTGAGGCGTCATGTCTCAGCAACAGCAGCAGGTTGTGAGGCAGCAGACCTCCTCGTCTGTAGTGCAACAATCGAGCAGTGCGCAACACCAAACCACAATGCAACAGCAAAGTCAAGTTCAAACTCGCGTCGTTCGAGAAGGTAGGGTGTGCTAAGTGCCGTATTGCTGTTTTCTAACGCCTTTATATGCGATAATTCAGTGCTTGGAGAGACCATTTACCGTGGCAGTGAAATAATATTTTATCAGCAGCTCTCGCGATGAGTGTTGTGTAATTTGTTGTGTATTTCATCATGCATCCTCCATTGATGGAAGTTTATAACCGCTTTTTAGATTGGAGGGTTCAAATGGGGGACCAATGGCGACCACAGATACTATTGATTGACATCAAGATCGATTTCTTGACCAATTTAATTTTGACTTCCACTCGTTTCCCGTAAACATTTTGACTGAAAAAATTTAGGCGGATTATTTATTTGATTCAGCTATTTATAAATAACGTTTCATTTCTAAATTCAAATAAAAAAATTTTAATTTAAATGAGCAATAAGTTTTTGAATTGAATTTAACATTAAAATTTTCAATGTTTCATTTGTACCCTGTTGCAAAATTAAATTCTCTCGTCATTTTTGAGGTTAATTGAATTTTTGTGCAAAATTTCTGGTTTGCTATGAACAGTATCAAGTTTTGTCGGTCGGTTCTATCACCTGTTGAATCGCTAAACGTTATTGAGCGCTTGATGTCGTTGCCTGTCATTGAATACGTCGTATTAAAATTTTAACCTCTTCATTCGTGCAAACCAATTTGAATTCTTTCGTTCCTGATTACTTCCCAGATCGAATAATTATGAATTTATATAGTGCTAAATCGATAAAATATTGATAGTTTTGATTTTCGAAATTATTCTTATAAATATATCCACAAGACGACTGACTCATAATCTTTTGGAAAATTGTTTTTAGTTCATTAAAATATTGTTTAAGAATTTCCGTATCCGTGTAGTGGCCGAGAAATTCTTTTATTGTTACTCTGTCTCAATTTACCTAAGAATTTACCACCTAGAACTAGTCGATGAGATCTTCGGTTTTTGTAATCACCAACACAACGATTATGTAACGTTCATAATTACCCACAAAACGTTTTTTGTTGACGTTTTTGTTAAGCACCTACTCAACAGTCTTGTTTACCTTATTTGTAGTTACCCTCAGAACGGCTTCGTTAACAAAACAATGACCTCAATGACCATTTAGCTAACTTTTAAAAGACAGTGCGGATGACTACAAAGGAACTATTTCGGAAATTTCTCCAAATTTTCAAATTAAATGGGACAATGTCTTCGTCTCTAAAAGTGTTATGTAGAATTGAAGCATCTAGAATTACTATAAATTACTACCTTGTTCTCCCCAGTATACTGTATTTTTGGGATTCAAATTTTTTCATTAAATTTTAGGTTACTAGCTTTGAACACTGTTGGGTTCTTATTTAAACTTAATAAATCATTAAATTTTAGGTTACTTGCTTTGAACACTGTTGGGTTCTCATTTAAACTTAATAAATCATTAAATTTTAGGTTACTTGCTTTGAACACTGTTGGGTTCTCATTTAAACTTAATAAATCACAAAATTTTAGGTTACTTGCTTTGAACACTGTTGGGTTCTCATTTAAACTTAATAAATCTTTAAATTTCAGGTTACTCCCTTTGAACACGGCTGGGATTTATTTTTATAATAGTGCTTGCTCTTAAAATAACAAATGTGCGTGTATAAGAAGTGTGAGCTGGTTTATAGTGAAGCAGTTCGAGCCCCTGGACGCTGATAAGCTTGTCGCGGCGAACAAGGCTGCTGCTGTTGCGGCTACTTAGTCGTGCCTGCTTTCGCTAGGTCGCGTCGTTGGAATATTTTAATTCCTTGACTAGTTTCATGTTTTTATCAAAATATTATCTAGTAAGAATACAGGTATTTTCTTCATGGTACTAATTAACTGAAGCTTAGAAGGGTTCACTGCGCAACCACTGTCATAAGAAACATTTTTTTATCCCAGGGCTCTTTTTAATGAATTTTTCTATTTCGATTTCACATATTTTTCTAAGGAAAAGTGACCGCTTAATAAGTGGTCACCTAAATAATTTTATTCGAGTATAGAATTCGCTATGCAAATCTAGAAAAATGATAAATACAATGGTTGAAGCACTCAGCTCCGATCCGTAGTAGGATATTTAAGGAGTCCTAATTATCGATGAGCATTATAAAGTACAATTACTACGAAATGAATTGAAATAAATCGGAATTTCAATCAATTATAATGTAATTTTATTTATTTTTTGCGTTTCATTAAGATAGATGAGCTGGAGTTCAGATTAAGACGATGTGAAGGGGACTGGTTGAACTGATTCCTCACTTCTCTATATTTTGAAATTGGAGAGTAAATTTTCAGTCTAGTTAGCCTTCTGCTGAGCCGCAAATTTTTCAGTACTGTGAACAAAGTCTAACGCTTTGAATAACTGCATTTAATTAATAATTAGCTCCCATGTCTGACGATTATTCACTATGCTGTCATGAAGTTTGAAACATTTATTAAAATGATCGAAATTATCCGAAAAATATAAATTTGGTCGACTTTTTTGACAAATTTTTTAAGCTGCTTCATTAGAATTTATCTAATGTCAGTGAATTGTCAGTGAAATGTATCTAATGTCAGTGAAGCCCTGCGAAAATTCTTCACCGAGGTCTCGGTGCAACTTCATCGGAATTTCCGGAAACGAGTACATTTTGGTTCGCCTCCCGTTGGCGGTCGCTGTGATTGAAAGTCTATTCTTGTACCATAACCAAACCTTGGCTTACAAATGTTTTTCTCAGTAGAAAGCGTCGCATATTAGTTCTCCCTCTTCTGGCGTTTTTGGTGTTCATATTACGCATAATTTTTTCTCATATATCTTTGATATACTGGGTTCTATCTAATCTTTCGATCCCTGTTAGAATGATCTCAATCGTCTCTGTTTCTCGTTGAATTACTGACCAAGTTATTGCCGCGTGGTTGGTTATTCCGGATTTGGCATAATATCTTTTGGTTATTTTCACTCTTCATATGTTTGTCATTCATGGCTAATCAACAGTTAGGTCCAGCTGGTCCTTAATCTAATTTTTGTGAAGTAATTAGCCATCAAATAGATGCGATTCGGTCTTGCTGACATTTGAATTTAATTCCCAGCTTGTAATAACTTGATGTTAATCAATAATGTAAGATTTGTCTTCACGTCGATCAGGCTTTAGCGGTATCCATCTCTTAACGGATCACGAACATTTTGCCAAATTTTACTATTTGAAGCAGTACTGATGCAGGCCATGGCATGAAATAGGTTGGAAGATTCTCTGAGGAGGTGAAACTTCGGAGGATAACGAGAGCTCCCATTGACGTTTCTGACTTTTCATGCAGGATGTCGAGAAATCCAATATTTCGTCAATTCAGATCAAGTTCTTATATAGGGGCCCTCAAAATAGAGTGCAACAATGTTCTCTGAAACTACCTCTCGTCTACTTGAAGAAATTTAGTAATAGTTATGGAGGTTAAAAAATTATGTTGGCGATTATTTTTTTTTTCATCAAAATCGAAAAGTCACTAAATATTTTCTTGCTTGTGATTCTAGGATGAATGTGGCTCGCTGAAATTCAAGCAACATGAAATCGATTTATTCTATAGTTGTATTTCCCCAACTTTCTCGTATGCTGTTTCAGGCTAAAGTTTATTTATAAATTGACGAAAATGAAATTAATCCAAATTGAGTGGGTCTTCCAATGCATGTCTTTGATCGCCGCAATTCTTGTGATATTTCTCGTGTCCCAAAAGCACTGACGTGCTCAGCGAGAGCCCTACCGCGGAACCAGCGATACCGGGTGGTGGGCAACAGTTGTAGGCTTACGTGTTCATGCAGGCATTATATAATAACGAGCTGTTAATGTCTGATTGTTGGTGGCTGACGCTCTTGCTTCTGTTCCTGTTGTAATTCGTCAGTTCTAATTTCTTTCTGTGTCAAAGAGAAGCTGATGCAGTTCAGTTCTCACCAGCGTCAGCACTCTGGCCATTTCAGAACTTTTGCGCCGTTAGCTGATGGATAACACTCGACTTGAAGTAATTTTAATGATTAAAACTTGCATTGTTTGTGATTTTGTTTTCATTTCCAGTGTGGAAGGTCTTCAATGGTTGTGCGCTAGTAAACTTTGTGTCGATTTAATTCGGGTTAATATACTTGTTCCTCTTCAGAAAAGATTTTGGCACCCACGTTTAGACACTTTTCAAGGGCAGTCATGCTGATCAATACACACTTAATTACTGCTGATAATTGATGAATTCGGGAAGAGGCGCGTTTTGAATGAACTGCTTTGAAATGATGCCTTGATCTCCTTGAAATTAAATATAGCGAATTAATGGGCTATCACTAATTAATGAAATTAAGAAATCCGATAATGTCGGATTAGGGGTTATCACTATCACTTATCCGGGCTATCACTAATTAATTTCATAAATTAGTGATAATTAATGAAATTAATTAGTGATAGCCCATGACAAAGCCATTTAAGGCTCCACTTGCCGCCAAGACGTGGCACGCGGCGCTGGCTGATGTACGACACGTGCAGTCAACGCACGCGCTGCCTCCCCCTCACGCCATCGTATAAAAACTCCCGAGCTTCGACGTGATCCTAAACATAACTCAATCCCTGCCTTTTTTTTGTACCAGTCCAACCGTCTGAAGTTTGAATACCAAGATTCTCTTTTTAGTTTCCCGAGGAATTTATATTTTAATGTTTCTTCCTCGAGGTTTTTTTGTGATTGTTTTATTTTATAGCTGATTACATTTATCTCGCTATGATATTGATTCTTATGTTTGTTGCAGCGCAATGTTCGTCTCCGAAATGAATTATTGATAACACTTGTCGTATCAACTATATATATAGTGCACTTTATTTTAAGTCCATACACATGAGTTTATACAGTTAATGCTTTTGCCTGTGCCCAACGCTACTTTCTAAGGTTTTTCATCCGTTAAAAGTCGTTTGCTTAGTCGAATACATGTGTATCATTGTATATGCTCTCCTAGTACTTGATATCAGGATATATATTACATTTTTGTCCCGCGGTATGAATAGCGGTATATTGCTCTTAGATTTCATGGGTTTTAAGTGATATATTTTCGTTTATCTTGCTTTTTTTACTGCCTATATAAGTTTATTTTTCTCGACTTCGATGTCGGGTTGCAGCAGCTGCTATTTTTTCAATCTATCCTTAATTTGCTTTCTTTGTTTGCATGTACGTGTTTATATATAGCTTATGTACTTTGACAATCTGATTTACTCCCGATCATTGAGAGTAACATTTTCTTGAGATGCTGGCAAATATTCTATTTTTTTGTGTATGGAGGTACCAGGAAACTGAATATTTGTCAGTCCCAAAAATGTTTCGTGAATTGAAAGAAGAATTTCCAGGGGACATTTTTATTTTTTACACTTAGTAGACAAGCTAGTTTTTTTTCGGTGTGTTTTTTTTCCAAGAATTCAGCGGTATCATGATCCATCCACATCAAATTCTTAGCGTTTAATTCATTTTCCTGTTGGCATTCATAAATTGTCTACTTTTCAATGATTATTTTCGGAAAATCGAACTAATTTTGTATGTCTTTCTTTTTTCGTGCAGTTCGCCAGGGCACGCAAATGATTCAAGGGCCCACCCAAGTCGTACAGTGAGTATACGTGTGATGGTAGAGTGATGAGGTAATAAGCGCGCCTGTTGTTCATGGTGTGAGGTGTGGGTTGGTAGAGTGATGAGGTAATACACGACCTCTGTTGTTCATGGTGTGAGGTGTGGGTTGGTAGAGTGATGAGGTAATAAGCGCGCCTGTTGTTCATGGTGTGAGGTGTGGGTTGGTAGAGTGATGAGGTAATACACGCTCCTGTTGTTCATGGAGTAATGGATGAATGATGATGTAATATAATTTTCTTGTCTTCCCAAAGGTAATTGTGAAGGGAAGTGTAGACTTGCGTCAGGAATGCCTCTCATTAAAAGCGGTCAATTACCAGCATGAAACGTTCCTGTGTCACATGGAAAATAGGAAAAATCTTCGAGATTTGCGGGCTTTTGATCGAATTTCCTCTTACAGGATGATAATGAACTACTGAATGTTATTCACTAAAGGGAACGAAACTGATGGATAATTTGGAAGTCAGATATCCAGATTTTTTTTATCCTCTATTCTTCTTAATCTCTTAAAGTGTGATGAGCTAGTTAAACATAGCCTTTTGTTCCGTGGGTGTCATTTTTCGTGATTCTATAATTTAATTTTTTGTTATTCATGAAAAATATTACTCCACAGTTTTTGTGTCAAATTTTAGTTTATTCTGATTTCTATGATAAGTTGAGTGCCGGGACTTTAATCTTTGTATTTCATCTTCAATCATCGATGGAGGGAGTATTTTTTTCTTGAATCAAAGCGCCCCTCACACCGTGCGAAATCTGTAAATATTTTTATTCATTTTTATTTGAAATGCCTCTCCTACACACCCCGAATTAGACTGTTTGATTGCCTAAATTTTGATGTTGAGTTTGTTCCTGTTTTGATATCGGGAAAACCTTTAACCTTGAAAGTTTTCTTGCATTTAGCCCGATGTTTCATTCGGGTTCTTACTTCATTTTCGTAAGTAATCGCTATCATGACAGCACAAATTAGCTCTAACAGAAAAATGATTGGTGCAATCACTTGAAAAGCATCAATTTGGTCAGCTTTTCAATTTATATGACCGATTATTCGAAAAATGTATAGTTAGTCGACCGCTCTGTTTGCTCTGTATCCAATACTCTTCACGGGTTCATGAAGACCAACAATATAATTTTTTGCCGATTATCAATTCTGTTTCAGAACCATAACTGAATATATATAAAAATATTTTCATCACTGTTTTGTGGTCGAATTTTCTGGCTTACTGCACGATAGACATGGGGTTGCTCCCGCATGATGTTAACTTAACCTATGCCATAAACTTAATCGTAGCACCACTTTCTTAACCTTAAATGCCATCCTTAACCGTAGTGTAGGTTAGAATTGGACCTGTTTTCTGTGGAGAATGGCTAGAGCATTTAAGATGGCTGTTCTGGGAACTCCATCGGTGGTTTTGCTATAACCTACTTCTTGGCTGCGATGTTATCTCCCTTGGCATGGCATCACAGCTTGCGGTGCTATTCCTTATTTAGGGAAGTGACATGAATATTTTTATGTATCAAAAATGAAAACACTTTGAGCCAGTGCATTGTTTAAAATATGAGTTATCTGTGTATGAAATTACACAAGTATCAATCGGTTTTCCAAATGCTCAGTGATATGTACCAAAGAGTTTTTACATTTTATATAGTTACTAATCCTGCAAGCGGAAATTTTCTTAAGGAAACATGATTACTTGGAAAGCTGCTGAATAAGGGAACACGAAGACGTTAAAGTTTCTGAGGGGAACACGAGGACGTGGAAGTTACTGAGAGGAACACGGGGACGTGGAAGTTGCTGGGTGGAACAAGAGGACGTGGAAGTTGCTGAGGGGAACACGAGGACGTGGAAGTTGCTGAGGGGAACACGAGGACGTGGAAGTTACTGAGGAGAATTTATCTGTGCTGGGACGTCCTAGTTCTTTAGTTATCTGTGCTGGGACGTCCTAGTTCTATAATTATCTGTGCTGGGACATCTTAGTTCTATAGTTATCTGTGCTGGGACTTCCTAGTTCTTTAGTTATCTGTGCTGGGACATCCTAGTTCTTTAGTTATCTGCACGTCCTAGTTCGTGATGTACGTGGGCGAGCTCCTAGTCAGCTCTGCTAGGAAGTATGTGTGTTGGCAGAGGTCGTGGCTCGACGTATAAATAGCCTCTAGGCAGCGATGCGTTGTCTCTAGACGAAGCACATATTCTATGCACCACATTCTTCTATTCACGCTATGTTCCCGATACTAGATAACCACTTTGTTTCAATTGGCGAGAAGTTCCGATTTGGAAGTTTAACTTATTCTAAATAAGAAAAACTATTGAGAAAATTGCGCCATCACAATTGTCCACTTGTCAGTCAGATAATTGTTAGAGGTGCTCCTGGTCGCTCGAAAACGATATGCTTTTGATAATGATATCGATGATTTGTACATTAGCACTATCTATTGTTGATTGTTGATTATATCGGCTAACTTGGATTTGCTTTGAAGTAAGTCTGAGTAAATACTAAATAGTATTGAGAGTTTGCGAATTACAGCATGCATGTGATTAATAATCTTGAGCTTGGAAGAAATTAAAAAAAGTTATGCGAACTGTCTTTGAGAGAGCCAGTAACTTTGGATTATCCCAACAACAAAAATTATTTTTAAACAATTTTCTTACAAAAGGACAATATTTGCTCAGTTTTGACTGCTGGTACACTATTAAAAATGTTTGAGAAATGCGCTGATTGTTATAGTGCCAAATTATTCAGATGTGAACAGGTTTACCCAATTTTTGTTTCCTGCAAATAGAAAAACTTTCTATCCTATCACCCCTAAAATTGGGTTTGACTCTATCAAACATTCGGGCACTTTTTTAAATATATTTTTCGAGATTCCATTCTTCTAGATGCTCCATCGCACTCTCGAGTTCAAAATTTGAATTTATTTTTTCAAGTTCAAAATTCATTCATTTCCTTGATAAACAATTCCTGTTTTGCTGATCTTTCGATTTCCTCTAAATTTTAGACAAGACTACTGATGTTTTGTTATTCTTAGAATATTTAAGAGTTAGACTCGGCTTTCATATTTGTATTTGCCTCAGTGAATTTGGATTACTTGATTTACTTCACTCTTATTAGTGTTTAGAGGGGGCCTCTTGACTTAGATTTTTTTATGTATTTTTGTACTCTGTTACTGCCACCCCGCACGATTTGTGATAGTCTACGTCCATTAAGAGGGTAGCATTAACATAACACACCTGTTGTGGCGGTGCCACCTGGAAAGTGTTGAAGAGAACGAGAGGTGGCACGGAGTGACCTGAAACAACAAGGAGAAATGGAAAACACATTAAAAAATACAAAAAAGGCAATTAGAAAAAAATTGACAAAATTCAATTAGAAAAATTCAATTTAAAGTTTTTAATGGAAAAAGACAATAATAAATTGGAAAAGACAATCAGCAGTAGATGAAAGATGCATAGCGCATTACTTAAGATGCATAGCGGAAAGATGCATTGCGGTTGAATGTAGGTGTATGGGTCTAGTCTGACTGACGACTAAGAGCAGATTATCCGTTGGTCATGAGGTTGTGGTGTGTGTATGTGTTTGTGGGGTTCGTGGTTAGTACGTGTTGTACATGGGAGGAGGTGGGGGACCTCGTATATAGTTCTTGTAGTTCGGAACTTTTAAATCGCTGGTGCTGTGTGCTGTATTGCAATCGTGCCTAGTAGGGGATAATTAGCTGCTTGAAGATTTGTAGGGCATTCGTTTCGATGGTAGACAAAGTTATACAATACACCTTCACACTCGTCACCTTCTGTTACTTTCAATAGGTTGGGTACAAGCAAAGTGATGGTATTTAGTGTTATACGCCCTTCGAAAGTATTACCAACCTTCAAGCATTTTCACCCCCTTTTCACTGCTCTGATTACCCGCTGTCCACTGCCTTGGTCTCCCTCAGTTCCCCTCCCTGGTCACCCCCAGCTGTTAACCCCCCTATAATCCCCAGCTGTTCACTGCCCTGGTCACCCTCAGTTCAGTTCAGGCCACTCAGTTCAGTTCAGGCCACTCCCTGCTGTTCACTCCCCTATTCCTCATCTGTTCACTACCCTGGTCGACCCCTGCTGTTTACCCCTATTCCCCCGCTGTTCACTGCTCTGGTCACCAGCTGTTCACTGCCCATGGTCACCCTCAGTTCACTCTGCTGTTCACTCCCCTGGTCACCCCCTGCTGTTCACTCCCCTATTCCCCAGCTATTCACTTCCTATTCCCCAGCTGTTCATTGCTCTGCCTGCTCTGCCCTCCGACAGGATGGGTCTACCGGCCGGGGCGTCACCGCCTGTGTTCGAGCAGATCTTCCGCAACGCGCGCTTCGCTCAGGGGGGCGACGCGGTGTTCGAGGGCAAGATCACGGGAAACCCTCGGCCGAGCGTCACGTGGATGCGCAAGGGCGCGCAGCTGCAGATGGGAAACAAATATCAGGCAAGTTGTCATTTCTGTTTTGTTTTGGGATTAAAAATTGCTAGGCTTAATTTCCTTTGGTTTTGCTAAGGAGTATAAAAAGATGAATCCGGCATACAATATTGATATTGTACAAATTGAATATAATGTAAAATCTTCTGAAAAATCAGTTTTGAACGATAATTGCTCTGAAGTGGCTATCTTAACTAAATGAATCTCTCCAAGCATTATCGCATTTTTAATTTATTTTGTTACGCGATTTCTTTCACTCTATTTATTCATTAAAATTTAAATTTAATTAGACCGTTAGCCACTCACTACTCTGAATTTTATCATAAAAATTAATATAGCAAATGATTGGACACGTCTGTTTCAGTTTGGAAACAAATAATTTGTACATTTCTAAATTGAGTCATTTTAAACTAGCAAAAACAGCGGTGTTTTTACCAACACCGAAATCATTTGCATATTTCCCTCTCTTCTGTGTGTGTACTGAGAAAGTCCTCGATCGTTCCTCCTCGCAAATAATAATGGGAAGAATGCGATGTATAACTCGCGACCAGCTCCACTGATGTAATTAAGGTTTATTGATCTACAAAAAAATCCTTTCCTCAAGTTGTTCTTTACTTCGTTCTAATATTTAATGCTGCAAATTACATCTGTTTATTGATTTATGCATCGAAGAAACTTCCATGTAATCGTAAGCTTCTCCGAATGTATTGAAGATTTCTTCTTGATAATTATATTTTAAACACGATTTGTTCGAGCTCATAACTTACCTCTTCATTTTTTGCTTGATTTTTAACTTTTGCATTTGTGTTCCAGGTGACTCACAACCCCAACACCGGGGAAGTCACGCTGCGTATCGCCACCATCGGGCCTGGTGACGAAGGGGAGTACACTTGCACGGCTTCCAACCAGTACGGCGAAGCCATTTGCACCGTCTACATCCAGCCAGAAGGTGAGGCAGGCACTTGCATGGCTTTCAACCAGTACGGCGAAGCCATTTGCACCGTCTACATCCAGCCAGAAGGTGAGGCAGGCACTTGCATGGCTTCCAACCAGTACGGCGAAGCCATTTGNCTGTCTCTTATACACATCTAGATGTGTATAAGAGACAGGTCTACATCCAGCCAGAAGGTGAGGCAGGCACTTGCACGGCTTCCAACCAGTACGGCGAGGCCATTTGCACCGTCTACATCCAGCCAGAAGGTGAGGCACTCACTTACTCGCTTGCACGACTTCCAGCCAGTATGGCAAAGTGCCCTCTGCAACCTACATCCAGCCTGTAGGTTTGGCCAGCTTAGTTTTTCTCTTCGCGCGACACCGCTCCTATATAGGTAGGTTAATAACTGCACTAGCCATGATGCTCTCATCACTTGAAATGCTATACTTTGATTTCTACTGTCTATCATAGGCAAGGTACAAAGTTCCTCCGTTTCCCCTTCGTGTGTTTACAATCGAGTTACTTCCGTGTCCTCAGACTCATTTTTGTTACGTATCTTATTTCGTCAGCTGTTGTGTAACTACGTATTCACAAAAATTTTGCCTGCTTTTTCAGCGGCCATGATGATGCAGCAGCAGCGCCAACATCAGCAGCAGCAGCAGCAGCAAACGAAACAAACTTTTATTCAGCAGCAAACTACGCAACAGCAGCAGACTTTCCAGCAGCAACAGACTGTGCAGCAGCAGCACAGTTTGATGCAGAACGGTCAGTTTGCGTCGTTCCGCGTAGACACTTTCGAGTACCGACTTGTAAACGAAGTCGAGTTTCGTCGTGCCATCACCCAACGCTCTGCTGGAGAACAAGACGTGAACTTCAATGTTCCAGTGCAAGGAGCTCCTCTGGCTCCGCAGCTGCAACAGAAGCCACGCGCTACAAAGGTGGCGCAAGGAAATAATGCAACTTTCACAGCCATTGTTAATGGTAATCCAAGCCCTCGTGTGACTTGGTTCCGTAATGGCGAACGACTTCGACAAAGCGACAAATATCAGATGTCCCAGAACGGCAACCAGTTCATGCTTGTCGTGCGGAACGTCGAGCCTGGTGATAACGGCCACTACACGATGCTGGCCGAGAACCCTTCTGGAGCAACAGTTGCCTCTGCTCAACTCGCCTGCGTTCCTCGTTCAGATGACGTCATCAACGGCGTTCAGGAAATCCGCAGTGAAACTATGTGAGTTCCAAGTCCTCCCACGGTGTTCAAAACAATTTCATTTCGGTGGCCAAACCAAAAATTTTTGCGTTTATTAGTGTTTACTCTCAGCATGGCCAAAGAAAGATCAAATTCCTCTGCAATCTAAAGTAATTTAAACATGAACGAAGATGAATTTTCATATCAGCAACGAATGCCTTTAGTTTACAGTCAAGTCAAAATTAGATTTTTTGGTTGAATTTTCTCTATTATGATCGATTTGCTTGACCCGTTAAAATCTGTTTTATGCCAACTTCGCTCACGACAAAAACGTTTAAAACGCATAATATCATATTCGTGTCGAATCTAAATCCTCAAAATCTTTTTCATTGTTGTTAATTAGTGTAAAGGTATATCAACGAAATCACACAGTGATGAACATTTTAGGTTAACTAATGAATGTCCCATGAAAAATCGAAATTTTTCATGATTGACTAGACGGAAACTTTAATAGAAGCGCGTGTGAATTACATTGAGTGAAAGCACGATTCAACATTACGTGTTCCTACAGCGAGACGCAGCAACAGCTTCAGAGCGTCGACACCGACGAGACCGGCAAGTCAATGGCGCCGAAGATCATCCGTGGACCTGGCGACCAGGCCATCCAGGAGGGCCGCATGGTCCGCTTCGACTGCCGTGTGTCTGGCAAACCATACCCCGAGGTCAGTGACAATGTTTTTATTCAATTTTACGATGAGAAGGTTTGCTTTTTAGCGCATTTTCTCATTTATAGAAAAAATGCACTATTGTGCTCGCCATGTCCGTCCGTCCGTTTGTCAGTCTGTTCGTCCGTAACTTCACGTTTTCGTCGACGAGAAAATGCGATCTCTGTCTTTCACTGCAGTGAGTACTGAGTTATATTTTTTCTGATGTCACTGTCAACTAAACTTTACAATAACATTGATGGTGTCTGCACATTCCCAATGTCTTTCTTCATCAAGATGGCATGTGCTTCATCTCGTAAATTATCTTAAAAACATACACTGCCCAATTCATCGCATGAATTACAAGGAAATTAAAATCAAAGAAAACGCCAAGTAACTTCAAAGTTCGACAATCTAGATTGTTGAACTGATGATGGAGCTGGACTCCGGAACGTATTAAATATCGATATGGTGAATTTGCTTGGCGTTTTCTTTCCTTCTAAATTCCTTGTAAACTTGCGATATAAGCAGACTGATAATATAAGTACTCATAAGCAGACTGATAATATAAGTCCTCATAAGCAGACTGATAATAAAAGTACTTAATCGCATGAATTTCCTAATTTTTTGCCACGATCGTCTGATGCCCATGCAGGTGACTTGGCTATTGAACGGCCAGGTGATCACTAACGACGCTCGCCACAAGATCTTGGTGAACGAACAAGGCAATCACTCCCTCATGATCGAGGGCACCTCCGTGCACGACTCAGGCGTACTCACGTGCATCGCAGCCAACAAGGGTGGCGAAGCGTCTTGCCAGGTCAGCCGTGCAAGTTTTGCTTTAATCTCATCTTGGATACTCGCTTGAAGACAGGTTTGTGTATGGCTTCAAGGTTGGGATTTTCACGATCAGATGTCGATTTTCTCCAGCAAATTATCGTTGCCATTATGAAGCCTATGGACCGTGTAACATCTCCGACGATGCACGGTTATACATGAACTTATTTTCGACAGCAATTTATACTTTAATGTCCCCACAAGAGTCGAGACGACAAAGAAGAAAACCGCCATTTAGTAGTTATGCTGAGAGATTCACGATTAACGTCAATGTGTAGATAAGAACAGTAACTTTTGACGGTAAAGTGTTCGAAGTAGGAGAAAATCTTTTAAATTTTGAGAATAAGTATAACTTCGAGAATAATTTTTATATAAGTATTAATAAATACCTGAATATATTTTACGGACAAAATGCGTAACTATGCGTTAACAATCCGTATTAGATTTTTTCTGAGAACGGTACATAATGCATTAATATCCTCTCGCATAATTAGCATTTTTTCTTTAGATCACCAGGGCAGTCCTTATTTCCTATAGAAGGAATTGTTTTAGTCCAACTTAATTTCCCTGCTTAATCTTATACCCCGTATCTATGTGCCGCGCAGTGCAACCTGACGGTGCTGGAGAAGGAGCAGTTAGTTGCCCCGAAGTTCGTGGAGCGTTTCCAGCAAGGGCAAGTGAGCGAGGGGGAGACCCTCTTGCTCCAGGTGAGGGCGGTGGGCACCCCCATACCCCAGCTGTCCTGGCAGAAGGATGGCGTTAGCATCCTGCCCTCTCCCAACGTCCAGGTGGGTTATCGTGCTGTTAATTAATTGTGGGTTAACTGTTAATTAATGTTTGTTGTTGATTAATTAATCAATTAAAGTGAAGCTACAGATATTTAGGTTGTAATTTTCCGCGAAAAGAGAAAAATCCCTAATAAGGTAGTCAAAATTTTATTAGTACTGATGAAATTTTTTCAGTTGTACCTGATTTTCTATCGTGAGAAATGTAATAGCTGTTCTTGGTAATAATGACTGTTGGACACAAATGCCACACTACGACGCGAACCCTGTGTTCATTTTTCAGTTTATCTCACTTACCCCTTCAATAACTAAAGTTGTTGCATTATTATAAACTTAAATCAAACCCAGTGTTCATTTTTCATTTAATATCACTTGCCCCTTCAATAACTAAAGTTTTTCACTTATTATAACCTTAAATTGAACCTTGTCTTCATTTTTCAGTTAATATCACTTGCCCCTTCAATAACTAAAGTTGTTGCATTATTATAAACTTAAATCAAACCCAGTGTTCGTTTTTCAGTCAATATCACTTGCCTCTTCAATAACTAAAGTTTTTGCATTATTATAACCTTAAATCGAACCCTGTGTTAAATTTTCAGCTAATATCACTTGCCTCTTCAATAACTAAAAGTTTTTGCATTATTATAACCTTAAATCGAACCCTGTGTTCACTTTTCAGTCAATATCACTTGCCTCTTCAATAACTAAAGTTTTTCACTTATTATATCCTTAAATCGAACCCTGTGTTCAAATTTAAGCTAATATCACTTGCCCCTCCAATAACTGGAGGGGCAAGTGATAAATAAGTTTTAAAGTGATAAAAATAAATAAGTTTTAAAAATTGAACTTGAATTTATCCTGACAGATCCTGACGGACGGCGGGTCCTCGACCCTGCAGCTGCTGAGCGCAGGGGCTCAGGACTCAGGCTGGTATCAGTGCACGGCGCAGAACACCGCCGGTAGCACAGCTACGCGCGCTCGTATCCACGTGCTCACTGAGAAGGCAGCCCCGCAACAGCCCCAACGACCCTACTTCCCCAAGCCCGTCAAGGTCATCGAACCTGAGTAAGGGCGGATAATTTTTTATGATGTTTAAGTGGAATTATCGCCCTTTAATGTATGCTAAATTTTAGAATAGTAAAGCTGCACAGGACACCACAGGAGTTAGTTATTTAAGTCGTCAAAATGATTATTTCGGATTAAACGACCACATCGTGTATTTTCACGACTGCCCCCAGTGATTTCTATGATATGATTAAAGTGATCAAGTTTTGTGCACCGTATTTGGCATCGAAATTCCATAACGAACTTCGGAAATTATGCGTCATGAAATAGGGAAAGCATTTGTGGATCTAACTTTTGTTGATAACGTTATGCTCCCAAAGCTTTCAGCCATATTTTCGAATCTTATTTCCTAAATGTCTCGCTGTTTTCGGCTGCAAACTATCAAATAGAGAAGTATAGTAAAAGTGTCATTCAATTACAGTCATGGCTCTTACTCGTCTCTAGCTTGATCTCCGCGACATCTGCTCACAGGCAACCATTAATTTTTAAATTACCTATTTTCAAGTTTGTGTAATTTGCTTCGAAAACCCGACCTAAACCTAACCTCACCACCTCACCCTTTTTTTGCAACCACGAGATGCTGAGATCAAATTTTCGATTCCCAGAAAAGAACCCGAACCCGAGGTGATTTATTTACGGCACGTCGAGCGCGCGCATCACCAAGTGAGGAGCGAGGAGGAGGAGGGTCCCACAGAGCCCCCCCGCTTCACTCACCCCTTACGGGACCTCGACATCGTCGAAGGAACCCGAGCGCATTTCGAAGCCATGCTCACTCCTGTGGGAGATCCTACTCTGCAGGTGGCCTGGCTCGTCGATGGCAAGCCTATTCCTGCCAGTGAGTTTGGCCTTTAGTTGTTTAGTCTTCTACAGCTGTGCAAAATTATAATCATATAACGTAGTATTATTGGAATTGATATTTGGTTCATAAATTTGGGCATTTCAACTATTCAGTTAGGAATATGTTGTAAGATCCATTTACTTTCAGCATATTTAAAAATTTCTCTCTCTTTATGGCGAGTCCCACTAATAAATAATTGATCTTTGCACCTGTACAAAACTATAGTCATATACCGTAGTGTTATCGTGATTGATATTTGGTTCATAAATTCGGACGTTTAAACTGTTCAGTTAGGAATGTGTTGTAAGATCCATTTACTTCAGCATATTTAAAAATTTCTCTCTTTATGGCGAGTCCCACATATAAATAATTGATGTTTGTTTCATTACAAACTCAGAGCAATTCAATTATTTTCTCGTCTAGGCTCACGAGCCACAGCGACCTACCGCTTCGGCTACGTCGCTCTGGATATCCTGAGCGTGACCAAGGCCGACTGCGGAGTTTATTCCTGCAGGGCCGTCAATGTTCTTGGTCATGACGAGGTTACCGCCAAGCTCAACGTTAGAGGTGAGTAATGGGGATTATGTACAATATATCTGTGGGGGAGGATATTAATTTTTTTGTTCATTATGGGATGACTGCCTAGCTATACAGTAAGAAAAGACATATACATGATCCATGATCTGATACATGCATGATACATGATCTGATCTGAAACATGATCTGATCTGATACATGATACATGATGTGATTTTCTTTGGCTTTAATGATCTTAGCGCGATATACTCAGAACTTTTGAGATCAAAATTACTTCTCCTAATGGCAGCATGATATATAATGTTTTGACTGCTTTCGCAAACTGACTTTTATAATCTGGCTTTCATCCATAGCCATTGCTGGTCTGCATACTTTCACAGTTCCTAGCGGACAAAACCTTACATGTTCTCATTGACTATCGATTTTGATTCCTCTTACTTGTACAATTTTGTTCTCTAATTTTTGCCTCTCATTTATCCCAAAACCCAGAGCGCCCTCAAATCGAGAGCTCCACTCAGCACCCTGAGGCTCTTCAACAAATCGGTTACCTCGAGGACGCGTCTCGGTACCAGAGGACGACTTCGATTGACGAGGCTAGCCACATCGCACCCACTTTCGTCAAGCCCCTCGTCAACCTCGGCGACGTCAACGAAGGAAAGTACGCCCACTTCGAGGCTCAGCTCCACCCCGTCAGCGACCCCTTCATGAGGATCGACTGGTTCAAGGATGGCAAGCCTATTACTGCTAGTAAGTACTCATTCAAGTATTCGCATATATACGAATACTAATAGTTCAACAAATTTTCTATTAGAGTATTCGCTGTTAAATTCTAGTTTTTTTTTCGCGTAAGCTGCTTGGTAAAAACTGTTTTCCCGATGTCTTTTTGTTGACACTTAATTTTTGAACCTTCAAATAATGAATATACTTTCTAGAAATTTAGTTTAGTCTAACTTAAATGCAATTTTTTTGAAAATTATTGTGATTCTCTACTTGTTAAAGTCAGAAGAGCTTTTCATCTACCATGGTTTTCGTCCATGCTTTATTTAATTCGCCACCCTCATTCGATGAATCACTTCTTGCCGTTCATGCTCAAACTTCATTCCTTTAAACCTCTGTTGTCTACGGACACATTAACCCATTTCAGTTTTTACATTCTACCGCGGAATGTCACTCTCTGGGAACATAACTTTAATTAAACTTCAATTATACTTATACTATTGAGTGTAGCAACCTGACGACGTTTGTACGCAACAGAGAACATTTTAAAGTTGTCGTATGTGGCAGCAACCATCAGTGCAAATAATTTTGCGCTCACTAGAACGTATCCTTTTTGGGAAGTATACTTGTATCAATATTGCTCCGGTTACTCGTGTCAGTCGGTAGATAGTCGATCGGATTTAAGGACCAGAACACGAGAGTATCTATCACAAAACAATGGATTAAATGCGCAATGTGCTTTCCACGTGCAGGTTCGCGCATCAACGTGATCTACAACTTCGGTTATGTCGCGCTCAACATCATGCACCTGCGCGCTGAGGACTCAGGCGTGTACACCGTCCGCGCAGTCAACCGGGCCGGCGAGGCCAGCTGCGAGGCCACCATCAATGTCATCGGTCAGTGCTGTTTGTTTCGTTACATAAATTAATAAATTAGTGTAATATCTGTTACTTCTATTTATAATATTTGTTTCATTGATAAATAGAACTTTGAAATGAATACATTTTTTAAATATCTGTTACATCCATTTATATTTGTTTCATTGATAATTCGAGTTTTGAAATATTTTTTCATTGAATAGCATTCGGAGGCGTAACGGGTGACCTCGGCATCCCGGAACAGCAACAGCATATCCGCAGCGTCGAGGAAATGGAAGCCTACAGGTGATTTTTCTTTACAATAAGGTGAATTCAGAATATATCGAGGGCCTTTAAACCTCTAATTTGTGATAGGACTGAACCTTAAAAAATTCGAAAACGCCATCAATTGTCTCTAAATACCAATCAATTGTCAAACGCGCCAAGAATCAACACCTTAATTGATGCATCAATAATTACATAAACTAATCTTAAAATCGCTTCTATTAACGTTTACAGTTGTGTCAAAAAATCGATAATTGATAAACTCGTTTCAAAGCTACGACGTCGACATACATGGGTTTACGGGCCGACAAGTGTATCAATGCGACAGCATACCCCTCGTGGCATGAATATCTAATCCAAAAGTCAACTTGAACTTTTGTCTTCGGATGCAATATGCGTCGTAAATGCCATTCGTATCTACAGACCCCATGAGTAATGTTCCCTTCAGTTGAAAAAGGTTTGTTGTCTCAGGCTTGCAATGCAGCAGCGAGCTCAGCAGGAGCTGCTGGAGGCGTCGACGGCGCCCGTCTTCAGGACTGAGCCGAAGGACGCGACCGCCCGTGAGGGAGGCTATGCTCACTTCGAGGCGCGACTTGAACCCATCGGCGACCCGACACTCAAAATAGAGTGGCTCAAGGATGGCCGGCCCATGGAAGCGAGTTAGTGAATACTTAATTTTCATTATTTTTAATTCCCATGGTAGATGGAATGAAGATGAAAAACAAAAAAATAATGAACTTTCTGTACGAACTTTAATTCCAATCTAAACTTATGCCACGCAAAATAAGTTTCATCCTCGATCTATATGTTGTTCTACATTTGATGACTGCATTGTTTTGTTATTTATTCTTGCGTTTGTTTTTATCTAGGCTCAAGGATCACATCTTTCTTCAATTTCGGATATGTGGCCTTGACCATCAAAGCCCTTATCCTGAAGGACCAAGGCACATACACGTGCCGCGCGTACAACTCGAAAGGGGAGGCTAAGGTAGGCTGCGTGCTGACGATGCTCTCCAAGAACGACGAAGTCGAGACTCAATACGAACAAACCGCCATGAAGATGCAGTTCCTTGAGGACGCTGCCAAGTATAAACGCGTCGAAACCGAAGAAACCACCGTCTCAACAATGGCCCCTAAATTCCTTGGGCCTCTCAAAGGCACCAACAAAATTCTTGAAGGCCAAAAGGCCCACTTTGAAGTACGTTTGGAACCACAAAGTGATTCTTCGATGGTCATCGAATGGTATTTCAACGGTCAGGTCATCATGTCGGCTAACAGAATCAAGTTCTTCAATGATTTTGGTTACGTGGCACTCGACATCTCCGACGTGCGTAGCTCCGACTCCGGAACCTACGTTGTCGTTGCTCGCAATTCTCTGGGGCAAGATCAAGCAACTGCTTCCATGGTTGTTGAGAGTAAGTTCACCAGTATTTATAAGCTTCCTATGTTTTTGAATTCTTTTTATCGATATGTTATTATTAAATCGATAACCTGTTCATGGAGAGGTTTCACTTATGTTAGACAGTTCAAAGATATTTTATTGGTTGGTGCGTCGCAATGGTCACCAAGTTGCTGGGTGATTTTTTCATGTATTAATCATTGAACGAATTGCTGCAGTTTTTTTTCTCACATCTAGTACTTGTTCGGTCACACTCTATACTGAACAAAATTTCGTTTTAGAGAACCTTTAGAAAACGTGATAGACGGGGCTGCCCCATTCCTTCATCCTTAACACACCTGTGTTCTTCCGCTAGCTCGCTCCGCCATCGACTATTCATCTATGCACGAAGTGACTCTGGACAAGACCCGCGCTCTGGAGCGCCGCCATCAGGAGCCTCATTATGACATTGAGGAAATCTCCAAGTCAAAGCCCATCTTCACACAGACTCTGTCTGATCTCCAGCCTCTTCATGAGGGTAAGAACATCCATCTTGAGGCTAGACTGGAACCAGTTGGTGATCCAACCATGAAAGTAGAGTGGTTCCTGAATGGCAAGTCTGTCACCATCGGCTCGAGATTCAAGACCTACTTTGATTTCGGCTACGTGGCCCTTGACGTTATTGGAGCGTACGCCATTGATTCCGGCGAGTACACTTGCAGAGCCACAAACCATCTTGGCAGCGCCCACACCTCCGCATGTGTTACTGTCATAGCCACTGGAGATATCCAGACCGACTCCATGCATGACGATGCCATGGACCAAATAAACTTCTTGGAGCATGGCCGGCAGATGCGCACGGCCACCGAGGAGACAGACATCAATCAACCTCCTAACTTCACTAAGTCTCTGAGAAACATCGAGACTTATGAAGGCACCAACATCCATTTAGAGGCTCGCCTGCAGCCCGTCGGCGACTCGTCAATGAGGATTGACTGGTTCTTCAACGATCAACCCCTGAAAGTTGGTCACCGTTTTAGACCAGCTTACGATTTTGATTACGTGGCCCTGGACCTCCTCAGCGTCTACCCAGTCGACTCCGGCATCTATAGTTGCCGCGCTACCAATAAACTCGGCCAGGCGGTCACCTCTGCTTCCGTCAAAGTTACAGGTGGGCCTTGAGTGAATAACAACTTATCAGGATTGAGGTATAAATGTTTGTATTTTTCCCGATGTTTGTATTTTTTAGCTCCCCCTCGAAAGCTCCCGAGCCCGCTCTACATTTGTTATCCCCATTTTAATATGTGAACTTCTTTTAATTATTCGCAATCATTGAGTGCAGATTTATTTCGGATGATGCTTCAGGTTTATGTTATGTTTTGTTTATGATTATGTATGATTTATCATTCTCCAAAACAGCCAAGAAGGACCTTATTTTTGACTCTGAACATCCTGAAAGTCTTCAAAAACTTCAATACCTCGACGATGCGTCTCGATACAACCGCCGCGAGATCATGGAAGAAGTTTCCATCAAAATCCAGCCAAAATTCTTGACTCAGCTCAAAGAGCTCTTTTTACACGAAGGACAAACTGCTCATTTCGAAGCTAAGCTCGAGCCTATAACCGACCCCAACATGAGGGTTGAGTGGTATAAAGATGGCCGTCCGTTGGCCGAAGGATCTAGATTCCGTCACATTCATGATTTCGGTTACGTAGCTTTAGATATCAGAGGACTGATGGCTGCCGATGAGGGAACCTACACATGTGTCGCCACCAACTTGCTTGGCAAAGACCAAATTTCGACAACGTTGAAAGTGCAGAGTGAGTAATTCGCATCACAACCGCATGACCGCATGAAGATGCTCCATTAGAGCCATAGTGTTTCGGATGTAAACTTTGCTCTCGCTTCTCGCTCTCGCAGACACACTTACTTGAAATTGCGCTATGTATGTATTAACTTAATCTTCGCTTCTGTCATGCAATATTGTGAACTCAAGAACCTTACACCTGTTTATACTCATCCATGCTTAACAATTCCTCACTGCTCGACTAATTCTAGTATTCGGAAGTATTACATAATACTTGACGGAATCCACGATTCTTGCAAACGGCGAAAGCATATTAGTATCGCTTTCTTCTAAAAGATTCTCGAGCTTCGTCTTCCAGGATTTCAACGGGTACTATGCTGTTTTTTCATTGCTTTCTTCCAGTTCGGTACGTGCGGTGTCGCTGCTTCTTTTACCAGCCTGCTATAATCCTTAAAGTTATATGTTAATGTGGTAATGTGTGTTGATGCATCCAATATTTTTCTACTTTCAAAAGTGTTCCTCAATTTCGCGATTAAGTATTTTCAGATCGCCATAACTTTTGTTGAGAATTAATGTTAACTGTAGCGTTTCGATGTTAATCAACGCTCAATAAAGAAAAAATCTGCTTCACTTACTTGCATGAAGTTTCCAATTGTAAAATTGCATGCCGGGAACTAAATTCACTAGATCGCAATTGAAATTTTGAACGCTTTCTAAGCATGTATAGCTAAAAATCTACGATTATTCACATGTTCATAAACCAGGTATAATTCTATGTTTACTACAAAAGTTTGACTCAATAAAAATTAGCCAGCAATTTTTTGGAGATTACCGATATTCTCGTGTTTGAATACATTTTATTTTTGGCTTGTTCAGCCATCTTAATTTGTCGTCGTAATTTCCAAACTGTAAATCTACACGTAACTTAAGTAAATAAATTAGGCTTGCATCCTGACTATTCATCAGTCATCAAGCATTGGAATTTATCAGTTGGTTTCTCTCTTCCAGCATTGGAATTTATCAGCTGGTTTCTCTCGAATGGAATTTATCAGTTGGTTTCTCTCTTCAATCGTTGGAATTTATCAGTTGGTTTCTCTCATCAAGCATTGAAATTTATCAGTTGGTTTCTCTCTTCAAGCATTGGAATTTTTCAGTTGGTTTCTCTCTTCAAGCAATGGAATTATCGGTTGGTTTCTCTCTTCAAGCATTGTAATTTATCAGTTGGTTTCTCTCTTTAAGCATTGGAATGTATCAGTTGGTTTCTCTTTTTAAGCATATGAATTTATCGCTTGTTTACTTGACTTATAAGCAACTGATTGAAGGCCAAAGACAAGTTTTGTTTCAGAAGAGCAAAATTAGTTTCGAATAATAGACTTTTTTGTAGGACTAAAAAATTACCTGATGGTCGAAAGATCTTCTTGGTTTATAAATCAATTTTGAAAATAGATCACAAAAAAGAAAAAATAATTTTTTTCATTAAAATTGATCATGGGTGGTCGAAGATCACTAAATTCTGTTTTAAATGTTTTCCGTCTCTTGCTTGCTACGGCTTACCGATAATGGTATCATCTTATCTTCTGATTGAATGTCGTCATTTCGGATTGGCTAAGGATATATTGCGGATCATATCATTTGCTGAATGTCAATTGATGTATTAATTCGTCTATCTTTGGGCGTACAGCTTCTTCGAACATCGTGCTGGAGACGCAGCACGAGAACTTATCGATGCAGCAGCTGCAGATGCTGGAGGACAAGAGTCGGTACATGCGTTCCGAACACATCGAAGAGACAACCAAACAAGCACCGGTGTTCACAACTTCCCTACGAAATATCGAAGTGATTGAAGGTGAACGAGCACATTTCGAAGCTCGTCTTATTCCGGCTTCAGACCCTACAATGAAAGTTGTGTGGTATCACAATGGCGTCGAACTTAAAAGTGGTTCACGTTTCATGACCTACAACGATTTCGGTTACGTGGCCCTCGACATCATGTACACGTATTCAGAGGACTCGGGTACGTACACTTGTGTGGCAACCAATGCCATAGGACAGGCGATCACTGAGTGCACTATGCAGTGTCTCAGTAAAGACTCGATCTTGCTGGATACCATGAACCAAGAAGCCATGAGCAAGATCAACCGTCTCGAGTCGCGCACCACGCGCACCACAGTCACCGAAGAGTTCACAAGTCAGCCTCCTGTCTTCACATCGCCTCTCAAAGATCGTCAACTTGCTGAGAACGCGCCTCTTCATTTCGAAGCTCGACTCATCCCCGTCGGTGATCCCGACCTGAGAGTAGAATGGTTCAAGAATGGCGTACCTCTTCAGCAGGCAAATCGCATCTCGACCATGCACGACTTCGGCTACGTCGCTCTGGATATGAAGTACGTCAACCCCGAAGATTCTGGCACATACACTTGCCGTGCCACCAACCGCCTGGGACAAGCCGTGTCTTCTGCTTCTCTCGTCGTGACGTGTAAGTTGACGGACTCTTTATTATATCAGAAATTTTCGAAGTGAGATTTGTGGCTCTCATTGATCCTGCGATCATAATCAGCGCTTTATTTACGTAATGAGATTCGGTAAAAGATACAATTCTTTAAATTGATTACCAATGTTTCAAAACAAATTTGGAAGTTAAGAACTGAAATGGGAAATATTTCATGGAAGATAGCCGAGGTAGTGGTAATTTGTCTATCCTTAAACCGAATGACCTGTGGACTAATTTCAACAGTAACGTTTGGTTGTGATCTACTTGTATTTTTTCCTAAGTTGGCTAGATTTGTTTCATAGAAGTCAATTGGGCATGCCTGAGACTAGTCTATCAGAACAGTAATTGCTGTCGAATATATATTATTCCTTGGTATTATTATTATCATTGCTCAAAATTCAATGTTGAACTTTCACAGCAAAAGAGGCGCTGCTCCTTGACACTGAACATGGCGAGGCGCTTAGGAAGCTGCGGATGCTGGAAGACTCGTCCCGGTATACCAAGACCACCGTTGAGGAAACTGTGGTCACTCAGGCTCCTAAGTGCGTAATTTTCCCAATTCCAAGCTGATCTTCATCTGAAAATTTCAGACGTATCTATTATATTCACTAGTTTTGATTTTGAAAATGCCATTTCTGCGAATAAAAGCATTATTAGGCGAGCTCACTACTAAATTTGCACATTAATTGAAATAGATTCCGAAAATTTGATGCATGCTTGCCTTCAATATCTTATACATTTTGGCTCACTATTTCATTGTTCGAAGTGACCAGAATCTCATTGATCCCCCAGCTTCATAGTTCGTCTCTCTGGCCTAACCAACTTGTGGGAGGGCCAGAGTGCCCACGTGGAGTGCCGCCTTGAGCCCTACCCCGACCCCACGATGAAGGTGGAGTGGTTCCACAACGGCAAGCCCCTGCAGGCTGGCAGCAGGTTTAGGACCATCTATGACTTCGGCTTCTGTGCCCTGGACCTCCTGCAGGCTGTGTCTGAGGACACGGGTACTTATGAAGTTCGCGCCACCAACAGGATCGGCACAGCTTCGTCCACCATTGATCTTACAGTCAAGCGTGAGTCTAGTTACTGACTTGATAATGGAGAATTGTTTTGGTTTTGATACATGACCAGAATGAAACTTTAGTTAACAATTGCACGACTACAATTGCAAATTTCGTTGGAAAAGTCGCTTTTGTATCTCGGATGTTAAAATTTCTTTGCCGACCCAATTAAAGGGCTAATTTATGGGAACGAAGTAATGACAACTGTAGTTTATTTTTCGCGTCTTTGGGAGATATTGAAAACACTTTTTTTATCTGATCTGGAATAATTTTAGAACTGGAAATTATTTTAGAGAATGGTAGTCTTTTTTTGTATTTAACAAAAATTTGAAATGATTTATTACGTTTGGTGAGCAGCGAAGAGCGACTTTATTGTGGACACCGTCCACCCCGACGCGCTGCCTAAGCTGGCCCGTTTGGAGCAGAAGGGCGGCCGCAAGGCTGAAGAAGAGACGCTCGTCATCGAGAAGCCTCACTTCGGCCGTTCCCTCCGCAACCAAGACCAGCTGGTGGAGGGCCAGGCCGTCCATATGGAGGCAACCCTAACGCCTGTCAACGACCCAACCATGAAAGTCGAGTGGTTCTTCAACGGAAATCCGATTCCTTCTGGTACGTACTACCTTTTATTTCACCCTCACTGACTGTTGAAATGATTTATTTATATATCTTCATGCTATTTCACTTTCTAAGTATATATTTCTGTCGTTCTAATAGTAAACGAAGTGCAATTAAATGTTGATGTAGTTCTATGTTTAGAGATTCGGAAGGTTTATAATAATTTTTATGAAGGAGCAGCAATGCTGTTCATTCGAATTTGTTAATTTATTTTGGTTTAATAGAGAATATTTCTGTCTACTTGCTTTAGTTTTGAATTTGCATGTTTGTGATTTTCATCTCGAGCACTTGTGAAATATCCGACTGGTTATATCTGATACTCATCCATTTAAAACGAAATTCTTTGAATTATAATTTGCCACATGATTCAAGTTGATTTCCAGAAATTGAAAATTTTTCAATCTAATAAACATTTTCCAATCAATTTCCCGTGCTGAGACATTGCCACTTAACATTGTAGTTCGGGTCACAATGTACATACGTCATGCAACATAAGCAATGGATATCCATGCACACTCTTCACGTCCGATCACGTTAGCTTTTTAAATTTTGCTGCATTGTTTACCCTCATACAGAAAAATGCTCAGACACTCGTTCATAAATTTATTTCACCCTCGATTTTTAAATATAATAATTTCTAGGTTGACTGGAATAATTATTTTCTGCGATCACGTTTATAAATAAATTTTCCATTACCTAAATAATAATTTAACAAGGTATCAACTGAATTATTTCAGCAATAATATAATAGCTACATATAATTATTAGCTTTGGCTGCCAAAAATTATTTTGGCAGCTAAAGACGGAAAATCTCGCTATTTTGGCAGCTAAAGACGGAAAATCTCGCTGTTTTGGCAGCTAAAGACGGAAAATCTCGCTATTTTGGCAGCTAAAGACGGAAAATCTTGCTATTTTGGCAGCTAAAGACGGAAAATCTCGCTGTTTTGGCAGCTAAAGATGGAAAATCTCGCTATTTTGGCAGCTAAAGACGGAAAATCTCACTATTTGGCAGGCAAAAACGGAAACTTATTTTATCTGACGGAAACTCTCGCTGTTCCCTTCAGGCCATCGGTTCCGCACGACGTACGACTTCGGTTTCGTGGCGCTGGATATCCTGTACGCCTACCCTGAGGACTGCGGCACCTACATGTGCCGTGCCACGAACGCCGCCGGCCAGGCGATCACGTCGTGCAGCATTACCGTCGAGGGTAGGTTGGAGCGCGCCCGTCGTGTCCACGGCTGTTTTGTGTACGTGTCCAAGCCCGCCCAAAAAGTCGTGCTGCCGGGAGGCACGCCGTATAACTGAGCGCCATGTTGCGGCCTTCTGAAAATGACGTTTTGCTTGGGACGCTCAAAAATGCCGCCGCGCTTTGTTTGCGTAGTTTTTGAAAGCTTTAAATAGAACTTGTTCAGGAAATAATAAGCTTCCCTAGCATCTCGCCGCTGTTTAGCAATACTTGCAATGAAATATATGCTAAAATGCGCCGCAGTTTATGGTTTTCGCTTCTGCTGCGTATTTCTTATATGCAATGCTTATCAATTATTGCCAAGGAAGGCAGATCGAGTTTCCTTTTTAACAATGAATTGCGATTCCGAGTGTTTAAATATTTTCTACACGAGAAAAGTTTGCCAGCTCATTTTCAATTCTTAGATGTTGTGCTGGTGGTTCAGGTGCTTTGCAAATTTATTATGTGAGTCGGTGTTTCGATAATAAATATTTGGTTCAACTGCTCGATAGTTATTAGTATAACTTTCCTGGAATATTTTTCATCGCAAAGCTGCATGCATTCCTCTAGTCGTGCCATATATTGGACTTAACTCTCCCAAATCCCAACGCACTCCCAGTTCGCTTAAGTCATTAATATTGTAAATCTTACAATGCTCGTGGCCAATATTGTATCACTGGCGCGCCAGAACGCCATTGCCGCACCGCTGCTGTAATGCCCCGTTGCGCGCTGGAAAAGCTTTTCGTAATTCAACGTCTCGGCAGGATTTAGGAATAATTATATAATTATCAGTCTATCATTAATATCATTGCATTAACATTCTTATGGCATCATCAGCATTATGTTAATTGGGAAATATCAACGAGGAGCCGATACGTATTGATAAAAATTCTCATGGTGTTGACATTGCACCGCTGAATGAGAAGCATTCAGCAGTGAAAAAAAAATATTTGCATTTTCGCTGTACGCGCTTTCGATTTTATCTGCTCTGCGTCGTTGTGAGTTATTAGTTTACTCTGTATTCTATTACTCGTAGCAATAGTTGTCTTGACTAATCCTTGATATAATTCTTCAGCGTCGGTAACTCGCTAATCTGAAATAAAGGTTTAATCCAGTCTGCTCAGTCCTGCAGCTCATAAACGTATAAGATCGCTGAGCTAAAGATCCGTTATACTATACGCTTCTACACGCGCTTTATAATTTTTAACATTTCATTTAACTCGTTTTGGTCTCTTAGCGTCGGAAGTTTGACACTGCGATTATTGTCTAAACTTATTTAATATGGGTTCTATTTCAGAGAACTCAGTTATGACTGACAAACGTGCGACCATAAACTCGGCTCTCAAAATATCTCCTGGGGCATACCGATACGAGATTAATATCATTAATAATATTATATCATTAATAATATTGAGTGGATACATTATGAAAGTTAATGTGAATCATTTCCAAATCGACCAATGAAGCATTTAAATTACTGACTTAATTTACTCTAGGTTCATTTTATGTGGCGCTAATTCAATTGTAAATGTGATTGTCATATATAATGAATTAACGCTCCCGTTATATTTGTTAGTCCATAATTCTTAATTCCTACGTATTTGAATCGCCAATATTAAAATTTCTATGGTTGCTATACTTATCGTACTATATCACAGTATCTCCTTAAGACGTTTCCTTGCAACCTATAGGCTATTAGGTTTAAGTAATTGGTTATGTGCCATGATTTATTTTGCGTATATAATGTAGTGTTTTTAATAGATTGCATTAAAAGTAGTTAACTTTTTGTTGACCATGCTGGCAAATTCAGCTAATTATTCATATTGATGCTTGTAATCTGTGCACGCGAAAAATATCCTAGTTCTTCTATATAAATATAACTGACGCTGTTAGATGTCATATAGGAAGCTAGCCTCATCAGTGCTTATATGTATTCAATGTTTTGCCTTCGTTCATTATATCACAAATAAATGGATAAAGGAAATGGTTTTGTCCTTCAATCTCCCAAGATTAAGTTCTAGCTGTTTTTAAAAACGGAAAATTTGCAAATAATAAAAATGCTACGTGACTTGGTTTTGTTTCCCTCATGGTTTCGTTTCTCTTGGTTTTGTTTCCCTATTATATACTTTGTGTTCATATCGTCTTCTTTAGTATTATTTTCCACAGATTAATATATCATTCTGGACGTTTTATATCCAATATATGATACCGACCCACTGCATGCATTTGTCCCCACTGTGCGAGTCACTGCATACATTTGTTCCCACTGTGCGAACCACTGCGTGCATTTGTTCCCACTGTGCGAACCACTGCGTGCATTTGTTCCCACTGTGCGAGCCACTGCACTGTGCGAGTCACTGCATGCATTTGTTCCCACTGTGCGATCACTGTGTGAGCCACTGCATGCATTTGTTCTCACTGTGTGAGCCACTGCGTGCATTTGTACCCACATTGCGAGCCACTGAATGCATTTATTCCCACTGTGCGAGCCACTGCATGCATTTGTTCCCACTGTGCGAGCCACTGCATGCCTTTGTACCCACTGTGTGAACCACTGCACGCCTTTGTTCCCACTGTGTGAACCACTGCTTGCCTTTGTACCCACTGTGCGAGCCACTGCATGCATTTGTTCCCACTGTGCAAGCCACTGCATGCCTTTGTTTTCACGGTTCGAGCGACTGCATGCATTTGTTCTCACTGCGCGAGTCACTGCACGCATTTTTTCCAATTGTGCAACTCTCTGCATGCATTTGTTCCAATTGTGCAAGAATTTTCGAGCCTCTACAAGCGCGCGCAGCGAGCGTCAAGTACGCTAAGTGCGCTAGCGTCGGTGCGGGAGGCGCGATGTGCTCGTGGAGCTCGCGACTCGCGCACTCACAGGCCACTGCTGCAGGGCTGCCATCCCGACCCTATAGCCTCAGTATATTAGCCTCGGCTTATTATAGACCTGCTAGGCTAATTTCAGACGCGTGAATCATCTGGCACGCGCGTAAACATGTGCGTTAGCGCTCACTTTGTCATGACGCAAATAGCCGACCATCTGCTTCATCTTCGTCGAACATGACCGTGCCTCATCCTCAGATAAACTTATTTTACAAGTATTGAATTTGAACCTAATTTTTGACAACTACTTACTTCAAGACATGAGTAACATAATATTTTGTTTGTTTATTTCATTTAAATTTATTTACTTCACTTATTATTCTTATTCTGTATTTGTGTGCATGCTTCGGTTCTTCATTCATCATTTCACTCAGCTTATGAAGCAATTATCACAACCAAATGTTATTGTGTCCGTCCATTTTATGCCTAATTCTCGTTGCATTTAGTAGCTGAGCTTTTGACACGCGCGTTATTTATTAATCCTCTTCGTGCAAGCTACTTTAATTATTGTTTATTATTTCTATTATTATTGCTCATCATCACTACAGGTATTGCTCATTATCACTACTGGTAAACTATTCTATACATTATCATTGAACTTTTAATTCCATCTACGGTCTTAAAGAATATGATTAGAGCATAATTTTTATTATTAAGAATATTCACTGACTATAATATGATTAATATCCGACGCTAGGTACGGGGTTCGATGGTCACGGACACTTTCCATATACGGTCTTAATAAATATGACTAGAGTATAATTTTTATTTCCAAGAATATTCACTGACTATATAATATAACTTCCGACGCCAGGCACGGGTTCGATGGTCACGGACACGCTGGACGAGCAGCGTATGAAGAAGATCCGTCTGCTGGAGCGCTCGGAGATGCGGCGCGAGGAGATCAGCGACCAGGTCTTCCAGAAGCCTGTCTTCACCACCGCCCTGCAGAGGTGAGTAGCACGCGCAGGTCCTATAGCAGCTGACACGCGTATGTCCTACAGGTGCCGACACGCGTATGTTGTACAGGTGCCGACACGCGTATGTTGTACAGGTGCAGACACTAGGTGCCGACACGCGTATGTTGTACAGGTGCCGACACGCGTATGTTGTACAGGTGCCGACACGCGTATGTTGTACAGGTGCCGACACGCGTATGTAGTACAGCTGTGCAGCTCCAGTAAATTTGAAGCAGCGAAGAAATTATTCCTGTTCATTAGATGTGTTCATGTTAAGTTCCCCAGCTTTGCACTTGAGTCTCGAGTTTAAACACGCCTGTGTAGATCTCATGGATGATGGCACCACTATTACCGTAATTTGAAAGTTGCCATGAAATTAATAATGAAGTAATAATATTTATCATATACGTATATGATACATTTACTTATTTTTTCACTATTCTTTGTACAAATGACAGTTAAGTATTAATTTGATGGAAGCTTGTCCACAAAGACCTTTTCTCATCACTTGTAGTCAACACGCCTTTGTGAGAAGACCGCTGAGCAAATAAAAACGAAGGATAATTGTGAGCCTTTACAGTTGTTGGCTCAAACAGTGGCCTGGTCGTTTGCATTATTATAGTTGATTATACCGTGGCTCCATCCCTTGTATTTTTCAATCATTGATTTAGACTTTTATTTTTATTTAGGTTAGTTTAACTTAGCTAATTAAAGTGACTTCCGTAACTCAGCGTGGACGGCGTGTCCGAAGGCGAGCGAGTGCACCTCGAGTGTCGCCTCGAGCCTATCAACGACCCCAACCTTCGCGTCGAGTGGTTCGTCAACGGCGTCGAAATAAAGGCTGGTCAGTTCTGAGCTCGTTGTTGTAAAGGGGAATCAAACTGGAGCAATGGAGATATTAATGCGCTATGCGCCTCTTTTAATGTGTTTTCCGTTTTTTCTTCCTTTTTTGGCGACTCTGTGCCATCACTTGTTCTCTTCCTAGTGGCACCGCACCACCACCACCAAATCGAGCTAACTCTGGATGTTGAAAGACTAGCCTACCTTTAGTCTTTGCCGAAGTTCTTTACCGCATGATAATACATTAGCAAACAATATTTAGTTTGAATAATCTTCTTAACTAAAACCATTTTAACAAAGTTTATTGCAATCTTGTCCCAGTTATTGGTTTAGGAATTTGGTTGATGATTTGATGTCTCATCAGGTCACCGATTCCGCACGACGCACGACTTTGGGTACGTGGCTCTCGACGTGCTTTACGCGTACTCCGAGGACTCTGGCACGTACCTCTGCAGAGCCACTAACAAGATGGGCGAGGCAGTCAACTCTTGCTCTGTTAACGTCACTGGTACGTTATTCAACTTATTAACTTCTACAACTGATTATTTATTTGTATTTATTGATTAATTGTTTTTTACTGATTATTTATTTGTATTCATTTAGAGTAGTTAATGCTACTCTATCTGATGAGTTACTCCAACTGATGGTTTGTGCTGAATGATGATTTGTGTTGGTTGAAGGCTTGTATTGATGGATGGTTTGTATTGATTGACGGTTTTTGTCAGTTGTTGGCTTGTATTGGGTGATGGTTTGTGCTTGGGTGATGGTTTGTGCTTGGGTGATGGTTTGTGCTTGGGTGATGGTTTGTGCTTGGGTGATGGTTTGTGCTTGGGTGATGATTTGTGCTTGGGTGATGGTTTGTGCTGTCAGGTGGTTTGTATTGGATGATAGTTTGTACTGACTGGTGGTTTGTATTGGATGATAGCTTGTGCTGAGCGATTGTTTTGTACTGGCCGATGGTTTTCACCGCCACGTAACTTATTCCTACACAATATCGTCCATAGCCGGGGTAATACATAAACACATTCGCATACGGTACAATTAACCCGATGAGAAAATTCTTCTCTCAAAGCGATAAAAGTTATCAAGGTATCAAAACTCCCTTATTATTGTAAGATATACACTCTTAATAACTCAAATAAACATTATTATTTTTGTTTTTAAGTCCTGCATTGAAGCTTCGTGTTGTGTACGTCACGTATTATATAGTTGCGTGCGCATGGCGTAATTTGTCCCTATAGAAACTTTATATTTTCATCATGTTATGTAAATAAATTATTATCATATAAGCCACTTGATTAAATATTTTATGTGCAGCGCACCGTTCGATCTACATGGACTCGCAGCATCCCAGCGGCTGGGAGAAAATCAAGAACCTGGAGCAGCGGAGCCGCTACGAGCGTCTCGACGTCGCCGACTTGCCCAACCAACCTCCTCGCTTCACCTCCGAGCTCCGGGTCAGTTTCTTTGCCTGTTGCGATCAAATTTTACGTGAATTACTTTCAAACACTAATTTTTCTTGAAGAATATAGTGATTTTATCTATATCTATCGATATAACTTGTGAATTAAGATCGACTGATCTATTGATTGTTCATGACTTTTAGTAAATGAATGGCGTTGGTGACGATTTTTGAGTCAAAATCGCCAATTTTACTTGTGTTAGTGGTGAGGGGAAATCAACCGGCAATTTAGTAGATAAATAAGTTGAATGGTATATTTTCGTGTATTTTTATGGGTGTTTATCTTTGTTCATCTCAGGGATCTTTAACTTATTTATTGGTAGGTATGTTTTGGAACGTTTCAGAGCAATTTCACTATGAAACATGAATTTCACACATGATTGGACAGTATTTTCGTGCATTTAATATGAATTATATGAACTAGAAAGTTATAAGAAAGGTGACCATGACTGTTGACCGAAGATACAACTTTCTAGATAATGTAAAGAAGGACATGATGGCGTTTACTTAATTATATATGAAATTGCCATAGTACTAACACTACAACCTGATAATTAAATCCAATTCTGAACAGGGCGTGACGACGCTGGCTGAAGGCCAGAGGGCTCACATGGAGGGCCGCATCGAACCGATCCACGACCCTAGCATGCGTGTCGAGTGGTACCATAACGGCAAAATATTGCAGTCTGCCTCCCGCTTCCACACCACTTTCGACTTCGGCTACGTCGCCTTGGACATACACTCCGTGTATGAAGAGGATTCAGGCGTGTACACTTGCCGGGTGTTTAATAATCTCGGCGAGGCCACGTCCTCGATCACGTTCAAGATCGAGGGTAAGAGTGGCGTGATATACGAGACCGCTCACCCTGAGGGACTGGAGAAGATCCGTGAGATGGAAGATCACGCACGCATGCAGCGCAAGGTAACTTTTGTTATTTTATTGAGTGGTAAAACTGAAATAAAAATAAAACGGGGGCCGCCTGTTCAAAAATTTGTGAGAAAATAATGCGTATAGGTTAAGGAGAAATTTGCTAGCCTACCTCCCCGTTTCCATCATCTACTACTTGCAACACAGTACAATTTTTTTCCTTCATTTGAATTGCATTTCGATAACGTTATTTTGATTCTACTGGCATGTAAGCTCTGGTGATGAAATACGAATCCTCGTTAGTAGTGTAGTAAATCATTATTGATTGCATGGTTAGCAGAGAAGTACAGTTGTAAAATCCATTTGTAGCACACTTAAAGATTCTACACTCGTTCGAGTTATGAATATTATTTCGACACATTTATAATGTATTTTTCTAGATTTTGAAAGTGATTTCCCAGTTTGCAATTCAGGTCATCGAAAAACGCATGCTCGACTTTCACTTTCACACTTGATCGTTCGTTGCATGGGCGCCTAATTTCAGTGGAAATTATACGTACTATTCTGCATTTGTTCCAGCCTAGTAATGAAATAATTTTTTTTAAACCGCTGAAGCTTTTGTTCATATCGCTACTAATATGGTTTACTGATCTAAAATATTTCCTTAATACGTAATATGGCATTTCCCAGGCGACCGAAGAAGTCAAGACGTTCCAGAGGCCGGTGTTCACTCAGCCGCTGCAGAACCTGGACAACCTCACTGAGGGTGAGACCGCGCACTTCGAGTGTCGTCTCATCCCCGTCGGGGACCCCAAGCTCAAGGTCGAGTGGTACAGGAACGAAGTCCTTATCGAAAAAAGTGAGTTGGTGTATCCGTCCGCTATGAAATAAATTGTTCATCATGTATGAAGTTCATGGATCTATAAAAAGCGCTTATTGTAGTATCGACGTAATATGGATCTAAGACTTGGGATATACGTGAAAGACAAGCTTTTTTAGAGTGCAAATAAATATTAAATGTTAACAATGAAAATATCACATCCTAAAGTCACTATCAAAGTGTCACTATCGCCTGTACAGGTTCACGCATCAACACGACGCACGACTTCGGCTACGTTTCGCTGGACATCACCGGCGTGCGCGGCGACGACGAAGGCATCTACATCTGCCGCGCCCACAACGACCTCGGCGAGGCTGTCACCACCGCCTCCATGAAGATCAAAAGTGAGACCTGGCAAACTAGGCCTATCTTAGAAAAAGTTTAACAAACTAAAACTAAATATTGAAGCAGTGTTTGAAATCCAGTAAATAAAAGTAATTTTCCAAATTAAAATAAGGCTATACCGAAGAAATGAATTCTAAGCAATGAAAATTTCTCATTGATGTAGTTTATAACTTACTATACCAGAACGCACGATGTATTATATTTTTGAGATTGAAAAATTTCGATAAGTGAATTTAAAATTATAACATAGTTCATTCCTGCCCAAGTGGGACCTCTAATGAACTTTATTTATTCTTGAATTTTCATTCCTTATAGGTGCTAATTTTCACTGAATTCGAGATGGCGATAAGAAGTATTTTAATATTTTTTCAGGCGAATTTTACTTGCCTGAATATAAGTAGTCTAAAATCTTTTATGTGAACGGATTAATTCAGAATTCAAAGTTTACTGATAATCTAAATTATTTCTTCATGAAACTTTTCTTCTTATTATAAAACAATTTCTGCTTCTTTCACAGCCTAATATCCGCGAAAAATTTATTCCGACATAACTGCTTGGCATATGAGCATTGCACCTGCAGCTCACGACATTAATATTCGAGCGCTCATATCTGATGCAAAATTCAGCATCCTTCACGAAATATCATGTGTTAAGAATATTTTACGTAGTAAACAATATACTGAATTACTTGCAGCGCACGGCACCATTCAGCTGGACTCTCACCACCCCGAGGGCATGAAGAAAATCGCTGCGCTCGAATCCCGCAAGACAGCGGATCGCGGACCTGAGGAGGATAAGGTTTATTTAATTTTATTTAGAAATATGATTAAGAGAAATTTAATATGATGTTGTATATTAGGAAACCATATGAAATTCAAATAATGAATCAATCATAATGAAAGATGGAACGATATCACATTCTCTGCTTAGCTCATTGTTGAGAGTAAATCACGTGAAGAAAAAAATGATCGACTGATCAATGTTCTTATCCAAAAAATGATCACCTAAGTACTTATATTATCAGTCTGCTTTAAACGCAAGTTCACAAGGAATTTAAAAGCAAGAAAACGCCAAGCATATTCACCATATCGATATTGAAAACGTATCGGAGTCCAGCTCCATCATCAGTTCGACAATCTAAAACAATAATTTTTAATATCGATATGGTGAATTTGCTTGGCGTTTTCTTTTCCTTTAAATTGCTTATGATCACCTATATCTAAATTTGCGATAGCCAAATCAAGATGCATATTACAAAAATTTTTATTATTGGATATTATAGTATACAAATAAGATATGTTACGAATGAGGAAAAAACGTTAACTTGATAACAATTTTTTTTTGCAGGTGTACGATAGGCCTGTCTTCACCGCCAACCTGGTGGGGCCCGCCCAGCTGATGGAGGGCCAGAGGGCCCATTATGAGTGCCGCGTTGTCCCCATCGGGGACCCCACCATGAAATACGAGTGGTTCTGCAACGGCGTCAACCTCAAGATGGGTCAGCTGCAGTTCTGAACTATACAGGCCTTTGCTTCATTACCAGCTGAATAATGTTCTGTGTCATCTATTGCACATCGAAATACAACTAAACCGAGAAAATTTAGTATTTTGATAAATACCTTGTCCGTTTTCTCAAATATATCAAAGCTTTCACTCTTATTCTAGTTAAATTACCGTTACATTACGATTCCAAGCAGCATAGTAAATAATTTTCCATTTAAAAAACATTCTCGGAGTATAATCCTGATTGGTGACGTATTTTGCCAGATTCGCTGGTGTTTTTTTGGAGTGTAATTTTGATTGGTGATGTTTTTCGCCATGCTCCCAATTTTTTTCGGAATACATTCCTGATTGGTGGCGTATTTTGCCAGGCTCCCGGATGTTTTTTTTTTGGAATACATTCCTGATTGGTGGCGTATTTTGCCAGGTTCCCGGTTCCAGACGAACCACGACTTCGGGTTCGTGACCCTGGACATCCTGCAGGTGATCCCTGAGGACTCCGGCGTGTACATGTGCAAGGCCTACAACGCGGCAGGCGAGGCTGTCAGCTCCATTACCACGAGGGTTATTGGTGAGCTGCCGTAGCCTAATTAAGATATTATTTGCGATATTCTTTGCGATATTCTTTTGTATATTATTTGGGATATTATTAGGATATTTTTTTGGACATTCTTTGGGATAATTTTTGTGATATTATTTGGGATATTATTTGGGATATTGTTTGGGATATTATTTGGGATATTCTGTGGGAGAATCTGTGGGATATTATTTTGGATATTCTGGGGGATATTCTTTGGAATATTTTGTGAGATATTCTTTGGAATATTATTTGCGATATTCCTTCGCTGAGATTAAGCCTTATGAGTTTAACTTCCAGAAAACAAGTTCTCGTACTACCCGGTTTTTTTAATGCTAGCATGATTTAGATTTTGCAAGTTTTTTTTAAATTTTGATTTAGTAGTTAGGAATTTATCATACAAAATGACGGCTTTTTACGAGATCGGACTGAGAACGAAAATGCAGAATTGACATAATGACAATGTAGAATTGACAACAATGAAATAATTAATCTCAATGTAAAATGAAAATTATTCCAATTTGAGTGCAATGATTTTGGATTGGATTTATGTGGTGATGTTGACATGTCACTGACGTGTCCGTATAACGACCAGGTCGTGACAGCATCATCGGTGACGCCGCGCACCCCGAGGGCTGGGAGAAGATTCGTCTGCGGGAGGCGCAGTGGAACCGTGTCCCTCAGGCCCCCGTCACACCCGACGCCGCAGAGCCCCCCATGTTCACCAAGAACCTCGACAGCCACGACAAACTCATGGTCAGGGGATAGAGCGTTGTGTGATCGTATGGAGCCGAGAATAACGAATTAATTATACATATATTTCTATAATCTCTTTAATATTTTCTCTATTAAATCTGTATTATACATTTATTACATTTCTCTATTATTTTCTCTTTAATAGTGTTTCCTATTACTGTCAATAGTCGCCTACTGTGTAGCATTCACCACCTACTTTTTACTTCTTTCTGCCCTTGTACCACCACCAACATAAATTTCTATAATCTACTTTATAGAGCGCAATTTCCTCTTTAATAGCGTTTCCTTTAACTGTCAACAGTTGCCTTATGTGTACCACCACCTAATATTTACTTCTTACTACCCTTGTACTATCATTAACGGTAGTACTACCGTTATTGGTAGTACCCGTTATTGGTAGTACCCGTTATTGGTAGTACCCGTTATTGTAGTACCCGTTATTGGTAGTATTACCGCACTACCACTAACAAGTGTACCGTGCACCACACTGTGCAGGAGGGAGGCTCGGTGCACCTGGAGGCGCAGGTACAGCCGGCCCATGACCCGCACCTCAGCATCGAGTGGTTCAAGAACGCTGCACCTCTCGCAACCGGTCAGTGCGGGGGTCGGGGGTCAGGAGGGCAGGGCGGGGGTCGGGAGAGCAGGGTGGGGGTCGAGAGCAGGGCAGGGGGCGTGTGTCTTAACGGGGGAGGGGGGCAGGATTGTTGGGTGACAAGCCTTGGAATTGATTTTCCGTTGAAGTGATAATTTCAAACGAATAACTTATTTGTGCGTCATTTGCGATTGAAATAAGACCGGGACTATGTTATATCCCGCCCAGTATTCAATCTTCAAAGTTTTTTGTATCGTAAGCGCGTTTTAAGCAAAGTGCCTGGTAAAAAGTATACGGAAATAAGAATGCATAACATTCAACTAAGAAGTTTAATTTTTAACAATTGTTGGCACTAATGTCAAATAATTTGTAAATGCAAATGGCAAGAAACCTGTCTAAATAATGCCTGTCTAAACGACCTGTCTAAATAAGAAACCTGTCTAAATTTAGTCTTCATTCAAGATCATAATTATAAAATGACTACAAAAATTATGTCGATGAAGCAAAAAAAAAAAAAAACCTAATTACTTGATTTCGCTAACGTTAGTCGGTTTCATTTTCTTCCGCAAAAAGAAGCTGATTTTCATTCACATGTCCCCTAAAAAAACCTGGAGTTTTTTTTTATTGTTTGGAAATGCTCCAAAATTTGATAGATTTTATGTTTCGTTCGTGCACAGGCCGAGGAGGCATCGTTGGTTCATATAACATCGAAGGTATTTGTTATCTTATTTTGTTTCTATATGAGGCGAGGGCAGCTGGTTACTATGGTTACTACCGGGCGCTTCTCAAGTGGTATCTTCGACTCGCTCAGAGAATTCGGTTCTAAAATAATATGCATGTTTGTTCAGTATAATTTTCATTAAGCTATCCGGTCAACGATGGTTGGAAATTCATAATTGACATTTTGGAATGGCATATTTGTTTATTGTAATCTTATCTCTTTTAAGGACTAGTTGGGTTCGGATGTGTTGCGGATATCGGAGCTCCGTCTTTCAGGAAAATTTTCAATGTCAATTCACCATTCTTACAAATCAAACCTTTCCTGTGCTACATTTAACATGGAGCAATTGCTTTTTTTGATGGGGGATTAGATTTCTCTGTGTCCAGTAAACTTTTATTACCTCCGCAGGGCTGTTGCATGCTGGTTGATATTCTTTCATAACATTCAAGTGCTTAATTTTTAGTAGTTCTGCATCTCTATACTGAAAAATTTATCTAATGTGCACGATAATTTCAATCGCTTGCAAGGCGATTTTGTTCCGGGATATTACTTCTTCCGCGAAGCATGTCATACGAAAAATATTATGCAATAAAATTATTTTTAACGTAAGAGATAAATGTCAATGCTTATGTATGCTTATGTAAACTAACTGCAGGATTTCAGTCGACCCAATTCTTCTCGGCTCTTTGGTTAAATCTTCTGATCATGTGAAGCAAATCTAATGCAATCATGCATTTTCAGATTCTTTCAAATAAATACTGCACGTAATTTAGAATTGTTTGCTAAATACTATCCAACTAATAACAATTTAAAGTAAAAAGTCAAAAGAGAAGGATTCTGTAGAATTTTGACTTGAATTTAATTGTCATTGAAGATTTGTAATTTTTAACTGAAAATGTGGCGAAACTAAAACCATTACAAAAGTTATTCATTATTTGTTTAGCGGTCAGATAAATAGGAACACACGAACGATTCCGAGACTTCATCGTTTTTCGTACAATCAATAGTCGAGAGTCGTAACGTCCATATATTTATATTATTATTGGGCAAAATTTTATTTATGGTAATAGATAAATTTTATTCTAACAACAGGAACCTAATTTGATTATTTCGATTGGGTTGGATCAGGAGTTCCTGAGCATGTAGACCGCAGATGACCGTGATTATGTCATTTTCCATTGATCATTCTTGCCAGCAATCTTTTCGATCATGCTTGGTAACTACTTCTATCATTACTTAGATCCAAATAAATTATTGATCATTACTTTCTTCTTTCGACCCTTAACCTACGATTCTTTTATCATTCCTTACTTCCACGGTGCTATGAATATTACTGCATCTCTACCATGCAATAATAATTATTTATTCATAATGTGCACCCTCTTCATCACACGTGTGCACGTTCAGGAACGCGTATTCGCAGCACGTTCGACTTCGGTCACGTGACGCTTGACATCAGCGGGCTACGCGAGAGCGACTGTGGCATCTACACGTGCAAGGCTGTCAACCGCGTGGGCGAGGCAGTCTCCACGTGCACGCTTAAAGTCTTCGGTGAGACCACTTATCTACAGGCTATTGTTGTAAACTTGTGCAATATTGTTGGGAACTCGTGCAATATTGTTCTGAACTTGTGCAATATTGTTGGGAACTTGTGCAATATTGTTGGGAACTTGTGCAATATTGTTGGGAACTTGTGCAATATTGTTGGGAACTTGTGCAATATTGTAGGAAACTTGTTCAATATTGATGGAAACTTCCGCAATATTGTTGGAAACTTGTGCAATGTTCAACTGCTGTGCGCCAGTTAAGAAGATCTCGAGAAATTTTGTTGGTTAGAACGAGCAATTTGTACATGCAATCTCCACGCACTCCTGCTAGAAGCTGCTGCAATCCTTACGTGTTCAGAGGGTAGTTTCTATGTTCACAAGAACTATCCATTTGACAAATACTATAAGGATATATCTTTACAGATACGACTTTACGAACTGAAATGTCATACTCATACCTTGAAATATTTCGACATAAATCTGTACTAATCAATGCTGACAAGTTTAGGCTGAAGTACTTAATAGTAGTAGCTGACATGTTTAGGCTGAAATGATACTACTATTAAGGATATTGAATTTTTTCTTGCTTTCCAACTATTTTTTACAATTCTAAACGAGTGTATTATTATGTGTACTTCACTCGTAGCGCGAAAGGTGAACTCGTACAATGTCCTGAACAGACCGCGACTGGCTGCTGGGAGAGAGCGTTCACCCAGACGCCCTGCCAAAGCTGGCACGTCTGGAGGCGCCGAAGGGCTCCATTAAGTCACCCGATGAGCCGCAGTTCGACGTGCCGATGTTCATCACTCACCTCAACAACGTTGAGTGCAACGAGGCCGAGACCGCTCACTTTGAGTGCAGGGTAGAACCCTCGAAAGACCCTACCATGAAAATCGGTTGGTATTTCTGGATTTATACATCAGTAGCCCAGCATTTTTGTTGGTCAATGCTCTTGTTTAAATCATCGACTGTTGTTTGTGTCTATATAAAATTATTTATAATACGTTTGGTTATGTTTATACTTGATCGGTGAATTATTTTATTAGAGCTTGAATCAAATCCGGCACTGCCACTTCAGCTGTAACAAACTATTTCGGGAGACCGTAATTCCAAGCAACTTTGATTTAACACAACCAATGATTGATTTTTCAACAACCACTCGCCTTCACCACCGCACCACAGAATGGTTCATCAACGGCAAGCCGATGCAGGCAGCGTCGCGCTACCACGCCACTTACGACTTCGGTTTCATTGCTCTCGACTGCACGCACTGCTACGCTGAGGACTCCGGCGTGTACATGTGCCGAGCCACGAACTGCAAGGGCTCTGCCACCACCACCGGCACGCTCAAGTGCCTCAGCAAAGCCAACCTTTACTTTGATACCCAGCATCCTCAGGGACAGGCTGGGCTTCAGAAGGTGGGAATGCTTTGGATCCTGTCAAATGTTATCGATGAGGGTTGACCGAAAAATCTTTTTGGTTTCTGAACAATAAGAGGGGTCGTGGCTGTAAAAAACAAGACACATTTTTCTGAAAGAGAAATTACGTGAAGTAATTTTGGTCAGTAACTCGTCTGTAGCTTGTGCTAAAATAATATGTTAATTTATTTGTGCTAAAATATATGTTAATTTATTTTAATTTTAGTGTAAAAATGTTTATGGTGGTGATATGGAGATAATTATGTGATTCTGACCCACCGTAATAACTGTGATACTGTACCGTAATAACTGTTTCATGAGCTAGCTTATTTTAATATTTATATAATATTTCATCATTTTGAATATGGTTTACTCACTTAACTGCATTACTTTGAATCACGTTGAACTTACAGCAATGCATTGAGCTTACAATTTATTGCAAATTTCATCAGATGTGCACAAAAATTAATGATAAAACTTTTCTGAAAGTCCACAAAATTGCGCTTGAGCTTTTCTTTCGTTGTGATCCTTGCGCTGACTTCAGTTAATTTCTTATAAGATGGGTTCACTCTATTCTACTTTGTAATTCATTTCCTTACATTGGATGTAGCATATATATTATGAATAGATTCTATGATTTTAACATGGCAAATTGACAATTCGTATACACTCAAAATATATTAATTGATGTGAAAAAGTTCATTTATAAGAAAATGTCAATTTTTCGCTTCAATTTTCTTTCATCCTCTGAGCTATTTTATATGATCAAAATTTCATTACCCATGTGATTTTCTATCTGAATTATCCGCGCAATTTTCTGCAGGTGGAGGAAGCAGAACGCGCGTTCTGGTCCAAATATCAACGGCAAGTGTCAGAGAAGGAAATCACATACCCGAAGCCAGTATTCATCCGCCCTCTGCAACCAAACTTTGCCATCGTAGAGAACCAACTCCTGCATATGGAGGCCAACGTCGAGCCTAAGAACGACCCTCACCTCCGGGTCGAATGGTTCCTCAATGGCCAAGCTCTTGGCGAGGCGTCGCGTTTCAAGACAAGTTACGACTTCGGTTTGGTTACTCTTGATCTTAAGGACTGTAACGAGAGGGACCAGGGCATCTACACGTGCCGGGCCTACAATAAGGTGATTATTGGTATCTTGAGCTGGATGACTCAAGCAGTAAATCGGTACTATTAAAAATTGAAAAGACCTATTTCTCGTTGGAGTGGATTTTATGATTGATATAATTCTACATTTAGTGCGACAAGTGGTAAAAGCAAATTAGGAGAGTCAATGGGATTAAATCTAGCTTTTGAACGATTTGGCACATGCAATTATTTACGTCAACTTGATATCGTTAAATTCGATTCTATGATTCAGCAAACACATCTTTTTTTCATTGGCTGTGATCAACACTTCAACTAGCTTTTTTTAAAATTATATTGTAGGATTAGGTTTAACAAATAGATTAAACTAGAGAAGTCTGAAAATTTTCGAAAACTTATTTATGAAGTGTTATGTTATGAATCTGTTATGGAATGAATGTATTGCCAGGTGGGCGAAGCGTTCACGACGAGCACCGTTGTGGTGACCACGAAGGACACGCTCATTGAAGGCACCCAACATCCTGCTGGGGAAATGGGACTCGAGGCCATCCTTGTGAGTATCCCTGGGCTAATGTGCTAATTAGAGTAGATGATGACGATGATAATGATGTTGATGTTGATCATGATAATAATGATGACGATGATGATGATGCTGATGATGATAATGATGATGATGATGATGTTGATGATGATGATAATGATGATGTTGATGATATGTAGGGAATAGATGAAATTAATAATTTTTTTATCGAAAATAATAAATAATAATGATAATTTTTCGATGAAATGTAATAATTGATGAAAATAATACTTTTATGCAGAGAATGGAAGAATCTCTGCGACGTCACGACAGAATGATTCCTGACGAGGAAGGTCATCCTCCCGTTTTCACAACTGAGTTCAAGGTGAATTACTATTCTATAGAAGTCATTAGTTTTCAAATTTGCCGAATAAAAAATTGTTGGGTTGTTTCTCACAATTTCTCATTGCAGACTCATTCAGGATTACGTTGATCACATTTCTACGGGATCGTGGCTGGTACTTTTGCTGTGTGTTTATTTATAATCGACATACTTTAAGACCTCTGGCCCGTGTAAGATCTGCATATTTCGTCTACTTGATACTGGATTTGATTTGATGCTCATCTGTTTATAGGAAAAAATCCTTGTTAAATTAAATCACATTAATTTTTTATTAAATATTAGAACTAGTCTTGAAGTGTAACGTTAAATGTATACCTCGCGCAGTCATTGAGCAATATCGAGGAAGGAGAAATCGTTCACTTCGAGGCCATGTTGACGCCCGTGGGCGACCAGACGATGAGGGTTGAGTGGTTCTACAAGGGCGAGGCCCTCAAAGCCTCGAGTCGAGTGCGCACTGTCTACGCTTTCGGCATGGTCGTCCTCGAAATTGTTGGCACCAAGGTGAGGACAGCTGCTGGAGGAAATGCAAAAGAGAACATAGGACACTCGGTTTCTTTAATCTAAAATGAGGTATGGCAAAATTGCTTGAAAGATGTAAAAACTGATATAATTTGAGTTGCAAACGACGAATTTGTTAAAATTATTGTTTATTTCAATTGACCATTCGGAATTTAATCAAATTAGAACATGCTTTTTGGGTATGCTGTGGGTATATTTTTTGAGTCGCGCTTTCATTATTTGGACTCAAAGCAGAGAAAACTCTGCACCGTTGTTTTTATTTTTGTCTTGCCTTAAATTTTGAATAAAATTGTTGGTCATTCAAATTTTCCCAGGTCTCGGATTCTGGCGATTACACATGCAAGGCTCACAACAAATGGGGCAAAGCAGAGTGCTCCCTCAACTTGGAGGTGGTGGATCGTGCTCACGGTCAACCTCCCAAATTTACCACTCACATCCAGAGCCTGGATAATCTACCTGATGGCTCATCGGCTCACTTCGAGTGCACGCTTATTCCGATTGGCGATCCCAATATGAAAGTCGAATGGTTCCATAACGGCGAACCAATTCGCAATGCTACTCGTATCAAGACAGTTTGCGATTTTGGATTTGTTGTTCTGGATATCGCATACTTGCGTGACCATGACACCGGCGAGTGGGTGTGTAAGGCATCCAACAAATACGGCGAAGACTTCACTCGCGCGACCATTAACTATCGCGGCAAGAGTGGCGTTTACACGGATTCTTTGCAGCCGCAGAGCTTGGATAGAATTGCCGAACTTGAAGCCGGCAAGATGAAGGCCAGTGCAGACCTCTCACCTGCTGCAGCTGAGCCTCCTAAGTTTATCACCCACATCTCAAACATTGAACAGCTGGTAGAAGGCCAGAGTGCCCATTTCGAAGCTCGACTGAAGCCCGTCGGTGATCCCAACCTGAATGTCGAGTGGTACAAGGACGGGAAGAAACTGCCTTCGGGTCACCGATACAGGACTTTCCATGATTTCGGTATCGTTATCCTTGACATTCTTTATTGTTATGAGGAAGATTCTGGAGTCTATGAAGCTCGTGCAGTCAACAAACTCGGGGAAGACAAGACCACTGCTACACTAAGATGTGCATCGAAAACTGGACTCATTCTGACTCCTCAAGTTCCACGAGGTATGGAAGGAGGATTGGATAAGATTCAGCACATGGAGGACACTGCCTGGATGAAAAAGGATACAGTAACCGCTGAAAAAGTCGGCATACCTCCAAAGTTCACCGTTCCCCTGGCTAATATTGACAGCTTGAAAGAGGGTGAAAACGCCCACTTCGAAGCCCGTATCGTTCCTACTGACGATCCCCGTCTGAAGGTCGAGTGGTACTGGAACGGTAAGCCCATGAAACATAGCTCAAGAATTCGTCAGTTCTGCGACTTTGGCTTCGTCATCATGGAGCTGTCTCCTGTTTACCCGGAAGACTCAGGTGAGTACATGTGCCGTGCATACAATGATTATGGTGAAGCTGTCACCAAGGCCAATCTGAGCTGCGATGGTAAGAGGTCCATTATTTTGGAATCGCAATTGCCAAAGTCAATGCAACGAGGCATGGAGAAAATTGCTCAACTCGAAGGCTTAATGATGAAATCACCTGACATGCCCACACCATCAGATATTGGACAGCCTCCTCAGTTCATAACCGAGCCTAAGGATCAGAGCATTTCTGAAAATCAGCTTGCTCACTTTGAGTGCCGTCTCTTACCAGTTGGTGATCCCAATTTGAGAGTTGATTGGTTCCATAACGGTAGGCCTCTGGGAGCCGGTACGCGCATCAAGACCATCAATGACTTCGGTTATGTTATTCTGGAAATGTCAGGCTGTTATTCGCGTGACGCAGGCACCTACGTATGTCGGGCAGTCAACAAGCATGGCGATGCATCGGTGCAATGCAAGCTTGACGTCACCAGCCGAGGAGCTATCAACTATGACCCTCAAGCAACATCACAATTCAAAGATTGCACTGAATCTATCCAGAAACTGGAGCAGAGCATGTGGAAAAAAGAAGACCTCAAATTTGACGATGAGAAGGGATCTCCCCCACGTTTTGTTACCAACTTGGAAAACGTGTCCGATATCTTCGAGGGACAGTCTGCTCACTTCGATTGTAGAGTGGAGCCTGTTGGAGATCCAGCAATGAGAATTGAGTGGTTCCACAATGGTATGCCTTTGGCTGCTGGTTCTCGAATGCATATGATGGACGACTTCGGCTTCGTAGTTTTGGACCTCGAATGGACTTTTGCCAGGGATTCTGGAGAATATTTGTGTCGCGCAACCAATAAATATGGGCAGGCAACAACCACTGCTACGCTTCAAGTAAAATCAAAGCACGGTGTTGACATGAACTCTCAGCTGCCCAAAGGCATGACTGCAGAGAAACTGAAAGAACTTGAGCGCGGCCCTCTGACAGAGAGATACGATCCCGACGCAGAACTCACTCCTCCCAAGTTCATCCTTCACATCAAGGACGCTAAACTTGAGGAGGGAGAGAGTGCCTTCTTTGAAGCTCGCGTTGAGCCCCGCAATGACCCCGACTTGCGTGTGGAGTGGTATTTTAATGGCAATCCCCTTCAATCGGGTCACAGATTCCGTACGAGCTTCGAGATGGGGCACGTTACATTTGCTTTGCTGCACACTTATTCAGAGGACTCCGGAGAGTACGTGTGCCGGGCGGTAAACAAACTTGGCCAAGACATCACGAAAGCTACGCTAAAATCAAGAGGTAAGTTTCGATTTCCAAGAATATGATAAATTTGTCATTTATTTTTCCAAAAAGTGTTTTAGAGTTTATTCCATTAAGACACCAAGTTTAATGATTGGAAATATTTATGCATTCAATCTTCTGGCAACCATATTGCTGAAAACCATATGGTTGCCATATTCGCATATGGTTGGGTCATATTCAGCAACCATATTGCTGAAGACTTCTAACTAATTACGATTCCTTGTCTCTCTGCAGCGGCCCAGAGTGTGGTTATGCAGTCCCAAGTTCCGAAGGGAATGAAGAGAATGGATTTTGCAACGCAGATGGAAGAAACTCTGAAGAAGTACTGCAAGGAGGTTTTCCTGACTCAGGAAGATATTTATGAGCCTGAAAAGCGTCAACCTCCGCGGTTTGTGACGCAAATCAAGGATATGTTGGAGTTGCAAGAGATGCAAGAGGCCAAGTTTGAGTGCCAGTTGGCACCTGTTGGAGATCCCAACATGAAAGTAGAATGGTTCTTCAACGGACGCCCACTTCCGTATAGTAAGTTTTCAGTGGCAAGTTTTTAAATTTTTTCGTGTCCGACTTTTTCGCACATGCCATGTTTTAATAAATTTGACCCATTTCGCCCGTTTTTCATAGGTTCGCTTGTATGCATTTTTTATAAGACTCTACTCAGACATGCCAGATTGATGCAATTTTTGCTCATATTAAGTAACGCCACCTGTACGTAAGCACTTACTATTCTGAACACTATTTACTCACCCATTTACTTACCTAAAGTAAATAAATAGGTAAGTAACCCATTTAACTAGTGTCTAATTGAGCGAAAACTTATCATGCACGAAAATTAAACACCAATGACGCACATCAAGATTCTCGTGCAGCCAAAGTCATGGGCCAAGTCTAGGGTGTAATTTCTGTTTGCTGCTATCACGCAACTTCCTCGACGTATTGTGTACCTTCAATCACAAGAAATTCGTAGTGCAGATTATGAACTGGGAATATTTATTAGTAATTCGTTATTCCTTCGTAATTTGCCAATGGTATTTTTTGCAGAGAACCGCTTCACGCCTATTTACGACTTCGGGTACGTAGCCATGGTCATGGGTTGGGTGTTCGCTGAAGACTCGGGAGAATATCTGTGCCGAGCAACCAACCTGTACGGCATGGACGAGACGAGGGCCGTCATCAAGAGCACCTCGAGACCCGGAGTCATCTACGAATCCCAGTTACCCAAGTGCATGCACTCCCTTGAGAAGATCCGCGAACTTGAATCTTCATGGCAGATGTCAGTTATCACTTTTGCTGACTGTGGAAACACTGTTGATTATTATCACATCAGCGTAGTTGCTCTTTATAAGCCCTCTAATGAAAAAATTAACATATATAAAAATTTCTGTAAACAAGTTATACATTAATTCTGATTGCAATAAATTTGTAAGGTATTCCATACTTCTATGATAATGAATTTATTCCCTTGCTCTGTCAAGCAGTCACGTGAAGTTTCCCCCGATGTGGGACCTTGCGTGGGAATGGGGCTTGATATTTCACGACGTTCGGTCTGTTCACCTAGTGAAAACTATGTGTATCTGATTTCATACTGAACTAATTCTTGTACAGAGTACAAAAATGTCTCTAATCCTACGCAGGCACCCCGAGAAGTTCATCGAGGAGGAGAAGGTGCGCACCAAGCCTGAGATCCTGCGGCCTCCCGTGTCCCTGGCGGTCCAGGAGGGCGAGTGGGCGAGATTCAGCGTTCGCATCTCCGGCTACCCCAAACCCAGGGTCATGTGGATAGTAAACGGCTCCACCGCCATGAGTGTTAGTTAATTACCATTTATATTTGTGAAAATATTTACTATGCTTAAATAGTATCTGTCATTTCTTAAGGATGGGATATTTTATAGTTTTGTGTGGAATCCTTTAAATTTCGAACCTTTACTAATTTTTATGCTCACAAAGAAATTATTTTCCAAGCTATTGGAAACATTGAAATCATTTACGGTTTAATTCCATCATTTTATTACTGATATTATTCACCTTATCGAGTTTTTACTTACCTATCTAATTTCTATAAGAAGCCGGCGTCGAATAGTTCCTAACGTCTCTGAATTACGAGTGTTCCTTTATAATGAGGCTAAAAACTAATGATCTTTGGAATTAATTGTACCGTTGCCTGCCCAGGGCAATCGTTTCAAGGTTTGGTATGACGGGATGTTCCACCTGGACATGCCTAAGACTCGCCAGTACGACGACGGCAAAGTTGAAGTGATCGCAAGGAACGCTCTAGGCGAGGCATACGCTTCCTGTGAGCTTAAAGTCACTCCCCGCCAAGACGACTACCGCGCCGTGCTTAAGAACTCTCCTAAGCGTGAGTTTATTTCCTTAAACCTGTACACTTAAGATCAATTAGTGCTTAGGTAGGGAAAATATAATGTATTAATAAATGCACACGAATGCATAGACGGTTAATGGGCGAAAAACCTATTACTTTAGGAGTTACGGGGGATTTGGCTGTAGGGCTGTTCATTTAACTTCTGCAATCGTTCACGTTTCTTGGAAGAAGAGAAAAATCGGGTTCATAAAAATTAGGATTGGGAAGCATCATCTTTTCACCTGTCCATTTCACCGATTCTTCATCATTTATCCATCGTGTATTCATTCACGAACTGCAAGGCCGCGAGTCTCTTGGTTGAGATTTGTGTTAAAGTTTTTGTTGATGGTCAATGGGATCAAGGTTACAATCTCACAGCGGCAACCAGCGTCCTTCCTCGGCCAACTTCTAACTCTACACCTGATCATCATGACAAATGCTAAATGTTTGCGAATAAAAATATCCATAATTAAAACTTGAAAACTCAGTATTTCTGCTAGATATCTTTCAATCATCGAGGGAATTTCCCTCGTTTCCATTTAAGATTTCTGCATTGTCTTCTTTCCAATCGAGGAGTGTAATTATTTTGCTTCGAAAGAGAAGTGGGATTGGTAAGTCTTACGAGGTAAGGAGCGAGTTCACGAAACCTGCAATGATTAATTAGGAAACAGTTTGGTCTGTGATCGCTGTTAGTGCCATGTGGAACCTTTGATTTTTGCTAAATGGATGATTTGAGAGCGTTTAAATCTAACCAAACTTCTAATTACTCCTTAAATAGAACATGTATAAATTTCACTTTTTATCTTCCTTCTTTTCTTCTCCCTTCCATCTTCCTGCAAAATCATTATCATCTGTTTCGGAAAGGATAGTTTGAGAAGGAGTTAAGAAGAGACCTATTCTCCCTCCCATGTTGTGGCCCTCCTGTTAACTTATTTTGCCACCCTGTCGTTTGCTCGTCCCTGATGTCTTTGTTTTTTTAAAAGAACCGCATCCTTGTCTTGTCGATAGAGAAAAATTTTCCTACATCGATGATATGTTTAGTACAAATTACTTTCTTTCGTACATAATATGTAATAAGAAAATTCCCAGCACTATCAAAGAATCACCATCAAAATCGGTTTATCGAAGTGCCTAAGGCAGTTTCTTATTTTTTGTTCACCAAAAACTTTACTGGACCACATGGTTCCTCTTCCATGATCCTAGTTTTATTAGGCGTAGATTTATCAATGACCTTAACAGTTTGAAAAAGAGTTAGTTATTAGTTATTTCCATCCCCCAATTAATCGATATCGATAACAATGTATCAAAATTAAATGAATGACTGGACTCCGTGCTTTTTATTTTAATGAATGCAATTGGGAGTTGTGAAGTTTGGTATGGATAATTATGGTAGGGCGGGTATTAATGATTTAATTTGTTCATAGGTTTATTTACACAAGAGTAATAAAAAATAATTTTTTTTTTAATTTCAAGCACTTTCTATCTACTGACATTTTTCGTTCCGATCGTTATTATAAATTGTATTGAAATCTGAAACCTGATCAAAGATAGATTGTCTTTGCCAAGCTTTTTACGTCAATTGTATGTGATCTGGAACACGTTACCTGTACGCTATTGCTCTAGTTAGGCCAAATAAGATGCAATTAAAAGCAGGAGAAATTATATCATTAATTTGAGCTCACCATTAATTGAGAGAATTCATTTGGACAAATTAAGCTTTCAGCATAAAACTATTCGTTTTAGGGCATATTTCGGGATCTTGTTTTTTTTAATTCATTATTTACTCATATCGCTACTTAAAATATTTATCATACCTTCATTTATCGGGATAAATCAGTGGATATGTTGACCGAATATGGGTTTGAATCTCATCAACAATTGGCTCTGCTTCTGCCCTCCATTGTCCACGTATCACATTGTGCTCCTTTATCATGTTATTATATTTCCTCACGCAGAAAATTTGAGACTCCAGTCAATGTTAGATAAATTCTACATATTTGCTCATGCAGTGCTGTCTAAATTCAATTCAAAACTAAGGAGCCTGATGGCTAATATGCAAATCATCTTATACGCTGTTGAGCATTCACACCGCCACGTTTGGAATTCATTTGATCCCATCAAGTATTTGTACCAGACTTTATTCTTCAACACCTTGTCTGTAATCCTCATTCAGTCCACGATTTAATTCATCCTTTGTGCACGTTCATCACGAATTAGATCTTTATATACCATCTGTGCTATTCGTCTACCATGAAGCATTATTTTTAACCTTGAGTGTCAGTTTTTGCATGTATACGAAGCCTTTTTTTTTAAATCTATATTAAATACTAACGAATACCTCCATGATATAATTTGTTGAAACGTTCGTGTGCACCGTAGCGTGGTATGACTATGACCTCAAGGGCTACCAAGAAGACCGCCAAACTCACGAACTTGATCGCGTTCTCGAGGAACGCGTGGACAGCAAGCACTCCATCTTGCACGAGTCCAAGTTCGGTGACTACATGGCTAAGCCCATCTTCAAGGAGCCGCAAGAAACCGAATGGCAAAAACTGGCTCGTGAAAAAGCTTCGTCTGGCGAAAAAATTAAAGAGGTTCGTTCTCCTGGGGTGATAAAAATGTGGATGATTTTTTTTCGATGTTTTATCATAACTCCTTGAAGTAACCATTTTCAAGTATTTTTCAATTGAGGATGTTTCATACAATGTTTAATACTTGAAAAGGTTTATCCAATGTACCAGTTGAAGTAACACAATAGGAGTTTAAGACGTACGCTACTCTCTAATTACGATTAGATAAGAAAAGTTTTCGACTTATTGGAATTAATTTACTTTTTTATTTTTTTCACGAATCTATAAAGTCTAATGAAATTTATAAAACATCTCGATGTTACGAATGCTTCAATTTGGTCGATTAATTAACTGTAATTTTATCGAAACATCGAATTCGACCGTAATCCGCTTACTAAAAATACATTTATGATTAAGGACTGACTTGTGTTCTTGCACTGTGGAAGATCATTGCACTGTGGGAGATCATTGCACTGTGGGAGATCATTGCACTGTGGAAGATCATTGCACTGTAGGAGATCATTGCACTACAGAAGATCATTGCACTGTGGGAGATCATTGCACTGTGGAAGATCATTGCACTGTGGAAGATCATTGCACTGTAGAAGATCATTGCACTGTAGGAGATCATTGCACTGTGTGAGATCATTGCACTGTGGGAGATCATTGCACTGTGGAAGATCATTGCACTGTAGGAGATCATTGCACTGTAGGAGATCATTGCACTGTGGGAGATCATTGCACTGTGGGAGATCATTGCACTGTGGAAAATCATTGCACTGTGGAAGATCAGGTCATGAGAGTACATGTTATTTCCTCGCAGCTGGAGTACGACCAGCGGCTCAAGGCGCGCAGGAAGGACGTCAAGTTCGCGTCGCCCATCGAGCACGCGTCGCAGAAATCTCTTGCGCGGGGCATGGCTTCCCGCTACGAGGAGCAGTTGTGAGTCTTACTTTACTTATTGTTATTGTTGTGAGGAAGTCGTGTCGCTTTAATTATTGTTAATGATGCGACGAAGTAGTGTCGTTTTAATTATTGTTAATGAAGTGATGAAGTCGTGTCGCTTTGTTGTTATGGATGTGACGAAGTCATAAGTGTCTCCTCAATGATTGTTATTGGTTCTTGGCGGTTGTGGGTGTCTCTTAATTTCTTTTTCGGAGTTTTTCACGGTGTTCTCCATCAGTGTGCGGGCGATGCGTTTCCATGACAAGCGTTAGGAACGAATTTGGAAAGTCGTTATGAACGTATCACTATCATGACAGCCGTTGTGACGTACCATCACAAGCGTACTGGTGTGTTGTAACATTCATCACGATTTCCTCAAATCATAAAATGTTTCACTCATTGCTTGAATTTTAGTTCCATTATAAATTCCTTATAAATGAACAATAACGAAGCCGGCAGAAAAACAGTAAGTTGTTGAAATTTCTTGATCGTTTTGCTGTTGAGGTTGAAACCTCGCTGTTTCAAACATTTATTTTTTCCTCTTTATTTCGATGATATTAGTGTTGTGTTACTATTGTTTTTCAGATATTTCTCCTATTTACATTGAACTGTAATTAATCTTTTTATCACGGCCTATTTTTAATATTAAAGAAACATTATTGTTGCTGTTTTCTACTATCCAAGTTTTAGAGCGTAATCATTAATTTTTTTTCAAATAAATTGCCAAATATTTGGGCAATTTTTCATCTAAATTGTATTATTTTTAGCCCACATTCCTCCTACAAATTTCACTTTGTAGAATAAGTTTTGAGAATAAAATCCCGTTTATTCTAATACTCGAGTCTACAAATTTAAACTATTACATAGTTGTAATCAATGAATGAACATATCTTCTTTTTCCAGAAAATTTTGTTTATGTTTTGCAATTACGATTTATTTAGAAGTAAATTTTATGTCTCTGTGACAACAAAGACATAAAATCAGTTTACCTCTCAATCGAGAGGTAAACTGATTCGAAATATAATTGAAAGAAAACGAATGGAAGCTGCTGGTTTTTTAACATATAACTCGACCAGTCTTTTTTTTAGGCATGAGTGAAAAGATTGTTTTTGGAAGAGGAGGAATTTTGCCGTTGCAAAATAGGATTTTTGTTCTAGAAGAGGAAATTTTTCGATTTTCCAAACATTTAAAACCAAGGCATTTCCTGCGTTATTACTACAAGATCTTCTTTAAACTATCAGTAGTTTGACCCTATTTATGTTCATTATAAATTGATTTTGCTCTTTTCATTACTAAATTGACAAAATTTCATTTTAATTGGATATTTCACGCCCATCTTGTTCATTCTTTATTATTTAGTTGAATTAATTTTCTTTGTGTACCTACTTGTTTCTTTGCTTTCATTTATTGATTTTCATCGAGCTTGATCCTTTGAAGGAGAGGACTGAAGTATGCACCTGTTGCAGTTCTTCAATTATTTGA